TACGTATACGTTCTCATCACTTTGTTTGACTGGGAAAACAGCCCGAATATCGTCCACTTCATCACATGGGTTCTCGGCCTCGGCGGCGAAATTGTCGTCCTATTATCATTCGCCCTCATTGTTACCGGGAGTCACTACTCCACCCTTGGCGCTCAGGACCCGATACCGAAACTCACCAATGGCCCGGACGGTTGGGACCTCGTGGATCTCAGCATTGGTGCCGTCCGTATTCTAATCATAACGATTATGGTGTTCACCTATGCGGCTCTTACGACCAGGAAGTGTATCAAGGAGAAACAGCGATACGACGAAGAAGCAAGCCACTCCGACAGTGACGAGTCAAGTCCTCTGCTTAACGGAAATCACCCAAATTATCATACCGACTCCAACAGATGCAATGATCGCAGACTTCCACGGACCGACTCTGGATTTGCGAGCGGAAATGGCGCCGGGGAAGCGGGTTGTCAACAGCGTGATGCGGAAGCGGCATTCTACCGACCTCAGAAACTTCCTCACAAGACCTGGTTCGAATACTGCCGCGGTTATTCGGTCTTCTTCCCATATCTTTGGCCAGCAAATTCTCTAAAGCTCCAGGGTATCATACTCGTGTGCTTTGTTTTGGTTCTCCTCCAGCGCTTTGTCAACATTGCGGTCCCGGCTCAGATGGGCAGGGTTACAGACGCACTAGAGCCGAAGGATGGTGTTTTCACAATGCCGTGGATGCAGGTTGGACTCCTGGTACTATACAAGCTGCTTCAAGGGCCTTCTGGATTGCTTGGATCTCTTAGGTCGATCCTCTGGATCCCCGTATCGCAGCATACCTACCGAGCATTGACGACAGCTGCATTTGAGCATGTGCATTCCTTGTCACTGGATTTCCACCTTGGCAAACGCACTGGAGAGGTTCTTTCGGCCCTCAACAAGGGAGCCTCTATCAACCAGTTCCTGGAGCAGACAACTTTCCAAGTGGTTCCCATGCTTATCGACCTTTTCATAGCCATCATCTTCTTCTATGTCAAGTTCGGGCCCATGTACGCCTTGTTCGTCTCGGTTATCACCTTTTACTATTTGTTTTTGACGATCCGCATGGCGGCAACCAGGGCTGACCAGCGACGCGATATGGTCAATGCGGATAGAGAGGAAGAGGCTGTCAAGAACGATTCGATCACGTCTTACGAAACGGTTAAATACTTCAACGCCGAGAAGTACGAGTTTGCGCGCTACCGCAATGCGATCCTCAACTACCAGGCAGCCGAAGCCAAGGTGACCTTTGGCATGAATCACATGAACATGTGCCAGTCCATGGTTTTCATGTGCGGCTTTCTTGTCATCATGATGACCTGCGCGTATCAGGTCAGCCAAGGCACACGGACCCTTGGTGAGTTTGTGTCGTTGATCACTTATCTCGGCCAGCTACAAGGACCACTCAACTTCTTTGGTACTTTCTACCGGACCATCCAGCAAGCCATGATCTCTGGAGAGAGACTCCTCGAACTCTTCAAAATCCAGCCTTCCGTCATCGACGGCCCTGACGTCCTGGACTTGACGCACTGCAGCGGCCATCTGAAATGGAACAACGTCGGGTTCTCGTACGACAAGCGCAGGCCTGCTCTACATGACTTGTCTTTCGAGTGCAAGCCCGGAACTACTACCGCATTTGTCGGCGAGTCTGGAGGCGGAAAGTCCACCGTGTTCCGCCTGATGTTCCGGTATTACAACTGCCAGGAGGGAAGCATCCAGATGGACGGCCATGACGTAAAAGACTTGACCATCGACTCCGTCCGCCGATTCATCGGCGTCGTTCCGCAAGATACTATCTTGTTCAACGAAACCCTCATGTACAACCTGAAATATGCGAACCCAAACGCAACAGAGGAAGATGTGTATGATGCTTGCCGGGCCGCTGCTATTCACGACCGCATCCTGAGTTTCCCAGACGGCTACGCCACCAAAGTTGGCGAGCGTGGCCTTCGCTTGAGCGGCGGTGAGAAGCAACGTGTCGCTATCGCGCGCACAATCTTGAAGAACCCCCAAATCATCATGTTGGACGAGGCCACTTCGGCCTTGGATGGTGAGACGGAGCAGAAGATCCAGTCCAAGCTAATCAGCGGCAATTTCGGCGAGGGCCGTACGCTCCTGATCATTGCGTAAGTGGCCCCTGTCGTGATCATCACTTGATCTTTTGCTAACGAGATATAAACAGGCATCGGTTGTCAACTATCACACACGCGGATCAAATCATCGTCCTTCACGCTGGCACCATGGTCGAAAAAGGCACGCATCAAGAGCTCCTGGCTCTGGGCGGCCGCTATGCTTCCATGTGGGAGAAGCATTGCCGTGCTGAGCGCGCGGCAGAGCACGCTCTAAAAGCCACTCTGAAGGCTCAGAAATTGTTGAGTCGAGCCAACCTCTCACGAGACGACGATCACTCGGATGGTTACGACAGCATGGTCTCATCCGCTATTCTGCAGACGGGGCTGAAAAGCCCAACCGTCGGTACCTCAACGCCGGACAACGAGTCAGACACCACTTCTCACAGGGGTACTAGCTCGAACTCGGATGATGACAGCAGCGCTTCAGTCAGTGGATCAGAGGGAACTCTGCATGACGAAGCTAGCGATGATTCCCATGAGGAGGACAATCACAACAGTGCCTACGACCCGCGAACAGCGGCGATACAACCAATTGCTGGACGCAGAGACAATGGTCAACCGCTATCCGCCTCATATGCCTCGCGTTCGAGGCTGTCTTCAAGTTACTCTTTGCCACCTAGGGTACGAGCCAGTACATGAGGCCTCCTAACGACCCACTTAACGATGCATCAGTGTTTAGCGAGTCTATACATCCGCGACACAGCCACACCTAATACCTGGTCACCATGGGGCGACAAGCTGAGTCAACCTCGCTCGTCGAAACCATGCTGGACATATTGCATGTTTTGGTTTCGTTTTCGTTCTCAGCGAAGCATCAACTGGTCCCGTGGCGGGGCCGTAATAATTACCCCTTTCACATTTCCTCCTGTCTATAAAGTCTCTTCCTGTTTTCCTTTTCTTATTCAAACACGCCGCTTAACGAGAGACGAGAACCACGAGATAAGATTCCCAAGCATGGCTGGCGTTGGTGGGTATTCCTTTAATGCAATATGGGACTTTTTGTCCATTTACTTGAACTTGTTGGGGGCACCTTTAGGCCCAGTGATATACGCCCTTTCCTCATTCTATTGGCATGTCGCTTCCATTTTTTCGTGCATCGGGAGCCGTGTGTCATGGTGTGTTACACTCTGGTTTGCCTTTTCATACTTGGCTTTTTACGGCCCGGCATAGGACTGGGCAGACGGGGGAGAAACGGTGAATAGAGGGTATGCATGGGGGGACAACAAATACCCGGGGTTATCTATTACCATATAAGTGGTTTGTTAAGTGATTTCGAGTCGCGACCTTACAGCCCTTGGGAAAAGAAGGAGTTGCCGGTTTGTGATGGGGTTTTCCAAAACACTCAGAGACACTAATTCATCCGGTCGATGGCTGATGGCTCATTGATGACAACATCTCCCTCTCCATCCTGCCCTTACATCTGTTCTATTTCCTCGTATTTTCCCTGTGTGTCTGTTCGATATGAGCGAGACTTTGTCTCCTGTTTCCCTCTTCAGTCTATCTGTCCCTGGTCACTAAGCATGCGCGAGCAAGCGAGCGACGTTTACCGAGCGAGCGCGCGAGCAATGCTTAGTATATGAGTGAGTTGTCATTCATTGTCTTTTAAAGGGCGGCCATTTGCATTATCATGTGTGTGTGGGAGGGGTGGGAGTGGGGGAACAAAATACCCGGAGCGATGGTGTTGGGGAATGGGTCTGGTGCTGGCTGCTGAGTGATGATGGTTCACTCGGCTCGAAATAAAAGGGGAAATGATTGAGAGAGAGAGGTGAATACCCAGTGAGCTTAGCGTGTAGTGCGTTTGTAGCTGAAAATAAGATGAACTGGTTTGCAGAAGAGGGTGTGTGTGTGTGTCATGATTGCTGGTGGGTCATGCCTTAATTCATTGTGCTTGGAAGTGAGAGTTGTGAGGAGGATGTATTAGGGGAAGAGCAATCAATGCCGTGTGCTGTACTCCGTGTCTTTGGGTCGGAGAAGGAGCGGCCATGGGGAGAGAAAGAAATGGAAAGGACTGATGGGTTTCCATGTGCCAGAAACAGCAAGAACAATTTGGCCGACGGATACAAACTTGGAATGTGCTGTTCGCTCTCAGATGGCTCATGGTGCAGTTCTATGAGTGGCTCTTGCCTCGACTCAAGACTCGTTAACTTCATGTATGTCCGGAGTCCTCCTTACCTCGCCCGTTCAGGCCTCTCCAACAAGCTGGTTTCTGAGCAATTTCTGGCGGATGTATACTTCAGCAATCAGTGTGTTTTAACATACCAACTTTTCGGAAGACGAACACATCTACTGAAGGTTGGGCCTCGAGGTGTCATCACGATGATTTAATTCAGGCATGCTCAGAAGACCAGTATGGCTTCTAAACCTCCTGGTATGGTGCAACTCACAAAGGTCTACGCATAGAGAAATCATGGTTTGGTGTCTCTCACGGCCACTTTCTGTGAAAAGAAAACGAGTCTTGGTCATCCAACAGGTCGAGTGTTTCGGAGTTGATAGTTTGCCTGTCATCCATCTTCCACATGTCCCAATGTCGTGTTTATGAAGCAGTCTTTACTTCCCAACATCGAGGTTTGATGGCTAACATCAAACGCAGAGTTCTGATATCTCTTTGCGCTGAAATCATGGAGGAAAACTGACCATTCGAAAGTTCCAGCCTCGAGATATATAATCGTCTATGGGTATGCTATTGGAAGGTAATTTCCTTGACATCAGTCGACAAACTCGCTTGAGTATACCAGGAAGAAGATCTCCGTCACTATCAATACCATCGGCGTCGTCACAGGAAACAAGACCCCCTACCAGGCTAGCATTTTTACCAACCCACAACCTTTGGAGACAACTACACTCACCATGTCCAGTTCCAAGTCAACAACCAACAACAACACAACTTCCTCCTCCACTACAGGAGGCTGTAAGTAAAGTTCACCTTTTCAGCCGCTTCCCTTCTTCCCGCCCCTTTTATCAACTCCCTCCTTCTCCTCTTTCATATATCCTCAACTTTGCACCAAAAACACCGTACTCACTACTTCCCCATTACCCTTCACAAAATAGCATCCTCCTCCTCCGCAGGAACCTTCTCCCACAACAGCGCGTCCACTACCACCACATTCAACCCCCCCACCACAACCACACCATACAAATCCCCCTTCCCAAACAGCTCCGTCAAACCCGGGAGGGAATCCAAATCCAGAGAGCACTTCGAGTACAGCGAGTGGAAGAACATACCGAGCTTGATCGACCATAGCAAGCACTTTGAGTTGATGGCAGTGCCGATTGAGCATGAGAGGAAGGAGGCGGAGGCGAAAGAGAAGAAATCTTGGTCTTGGGGTGGTGGTGGTGGTGGTAGTGGTGGCGGTAAGTGATGGTGACAAGCATATAGGTGGTGGAGGGATTAAGTTCTATAGAGTAGGACGGGAGTTCAGATTTAGAGGTACGTAGAACTGGGGCTGGGGGTTTAGGATTGGGACGTGGTACTTGATGAAACGAAGGGAAGTGAAGATGGGGTGAGGAAAGATGGGAAAAGAGAAAGTAGCGGAAAAATATCAATATATTACAACCGCAGACTGTCTTCATAGAACACCAACGGTTGTGCCTGTATACTTTGTACTTGAACATCCCAGTTGTAGGCCTAGGACCAAGTGAGTCCTCTTTTGTATGTCCCTCTCGTATAAAGCCCTTTTCAGCCCGCTATCCTCCGTCTGGTTTCCCTCGTCATGGCAACTCGTTGTTTCGCCCCTTTTAGCTGTATTTCCCCTTTCTATATTTTCCTCCTTTCACCACCTTTACCACCTCCTTCACCACCTCACCTCCCGTCCCCACCCCCTGATCAGCGATCACTACCTCTCAGCCCCCTGACCAACCCCCAACGCATTCCCCGGAAACACCCTCAAAATATCCTCCAAGCTCGGTGACTGCTCTGACCACCTGTCATAAGGATTTCTCGTTGTCGTTGTCGTTGTTGTCGTCGTTGCCGTAGCCTTTGTTGTGCTTCCGCTTCCGCTTCCGCTTCCGCCTCCGCCTCCAGGCCTGTACCTTGTAATGTTATCCCTCAACATACTCGAGTCCCTCTTCTTCGTTTTTGTCTTTGCCCTTGTCCACCATGACGGATTTTCCCCTGACGATGACGAGCGTACTGAGGAACGATCCGAACGATCCGGACTACCAAGACTATCAGACGTGCACGGCATGGACGAAGACAACGTGGACAATGAGGACGAGAAAGACGACGAGGAGGATCTGGATGGTGAGGGCGTTCTCTTCTTGATGATCTTGATGGTAAAGCCCCCTGTTTCCGCTGCTGGAGGAAGAAAGCCGGGAGGGGGCGGGGAGCCGTTGCGGATTGGGGACATGTTTTTCTGTTGTTTGTTGCTGTTGTTCTTGTTTACTGTTCTGGTTCCAGTTCCAGTCCAGGATCTGGTTGTTGCGGGTGGGTGGTCTGGCGGTCCGGTTGTGTTGTGTTGTGCCGGGTTGGCTGCTGATGGACGGATGGATACCAAACCGGGCTTGGTTTTTTTGATAGCTCTCGTTGACAAAAATTTAGACTGACGTGCTATTTACTTTTCTTGCTTGTCGTTCATTCGGTGGGCGGTTTACTGTCTTTGGTGAATCATAGCATATACCACCGTTAGGTTTCGATCCCATCTCATCGTTCCCCTTCACCGTTTCCCGTTTGCGTCAGATGTACAAGTCCCTATGTCGACAACTGACCATTGTGTCAGTCAACCTTGTTAGCCTAAGTCGAAGTCGAAGCTGAAGGAGGTAAACGTCATGGACCAAGAGACGTGAATATATCCTAAAAATCGGTAAGAAGGGCCTGTATATATCCATACGTACGGCCAAGCGTCCAGTCCGCATGGACCAACGTTCTTGAGGGTAACAAAGTCATCAATCAACCAGGATCGAATTGTATTTGTCACCTCACTCAGTCTTGGATCACTTCGATGACTGGCCATGTGGTAATCGCTTTCTTGAAAGCCCGTATAATTGCGAATACCTCTCCGCATTAGCACCATGCGTTACGTAAACCAAGCAGTCGAGCGTGGATATTTGTATAAGCCCTTACGTTCGTGTTGGGTGAATGATCCCCATTTCCAGTTTGTTTACTTACCCCTATTTGTCCTTTGCACAACAGTGTTCAGGAAGTGCCACTTGTCAGGGGACGGGAGCATGATGAAAGTAGTAATCGTTTGTATTAACTTTTTTGACGCACAGAAAATGTGCACGTATCCTTATGCGTTCCTCTCCCGCCCCTTTCTATTCCCTTTCCTGTCCCACCCTTTCCGAGACCCTTCCCAGATAGTCATATGATTGTAATTTGTTCCCATGCAGTTAGAGAAATACTTTGTCGTTTTCATTTCCACCTCTTCTTTTTCATATACAAACGTGATGGAAGAAAGACGTAAATATACGCCCGAGGTCGTGTAAGTAGATAGATATAAATGCACATCATACATCACCACCAAAAACCCCCCATTATAGTGATTCTAATACATGCGGTAATGACAACAGAACGATGCTACTCTCCCCCAATCTACCTCTTTGTGGTAGAGCTATCAGCAGTAGACTTCTCCTCAGGAACGTCCTCTTCCAACTCCGACTCATCATCGCTGCGGTCATCCTTGGCAACTTTATGGATAGCGAAGCGATAAGCGATGCGGATAATGAAGAACAGCCAAAAGAGGTTGAGCGCCTGGAGAGAGCCGAGCAGGGTGAGCGTGATGACGAAGGAGAGGTCGCACTTGTACTGCTGAGTCTCCCAGTTGAGCTCGTAAGGGCCGATGGTCTTGAACTCGGTGAACAGACTCAATAAAATGCGCAAGTTGAGGTAGTGGCGCAGATAGATCCACACGCACATGAAGGTGAAGTAGTAGGGGCCGGTGAGCGCGTGGTCGAGGTAGTTGAGTGTCTTGGATGTCTGGTAAACGGTACAAAGTTAGCAAATGCGCCACGCCCTGACTCACAACGAGGTGCTGGGCCAAGACTTACCGCCAAGAAGAAATCACTAATATCGTGGGTGATGTAGACCGCAAGGCCGATGTAGGTGAAGTGGAAGCGGTAGCTCAAGCCGATCAAAGCCAAGCTGACAATGTGGTGGCAAACCAACTCCTTGAAGTCCTTCCGGGGCTTCTCCATTCCCAGGAGAAGCACGATGGCCTGCTGCGCCCAGTAGGCGGCCTGGAAGAGGTAATAGAACTTGAAACAGGCCTCATGGGTCTTGTGCGGGAAGTTCTCGTACATGCCCGCGGTGTTGAAGTACCAGACGGGCGTGCGGCTCATAACGTACATACCAACGGGTCCCATGAGTCCAAAGTACAGGGCCGTGTACATTTGCTCCATGTACCGAGCCTGCTTTCCGCGCGACTTGAGGCCGGCCCAGCGCGCCATGGGGCGCAGAACCTCCTGCATGATGAACTCGCGGGTGAAGGAGAGGACGACGGTGTAGAAGGACACCAAGGCAATATCCCAGAGACCCTTGCCGTATTGCGGGATCTCATCGGAGCTCGAGGTTGGCAGCTTGTATGAGAGGAAGATAAAGTGGTGGATCGGGTTGCTCTCGGTCGGGTTGATGGCGAAGAGAGATAGGAACGCCATCAGGATGGCCAAGGGCAAGGCCCAGGTGTGCTTGATGGCGTAGTTTTTGGCGCGGCGTAGGAGGGAGCGCGCCTTGCGCCGCTTGGAGAATTTCTTGCCTGGTGCCGCGGCGAAATCTTTGGAATCCTGTATGACAACTGCGGTCAGCTTCTCTTCTTGTTGCCCGTTTGTCCCTCCGTCTGTGGCCTGGTGTTCATAATGGGGTGGTCCTTACCTTCTGTGAGAGGGCAAGACTGGTGGCCAAGGCGGGTGCGCCAGTGTCACCGACGCGCAAGGCTTGTCCAAGGCCGCTCGATTTTCTGCGGCGACGGGCTGCGGTAGCCTCAGAGTGTAATTGGCGGTCTGCCGCCGAGCTGAGCTCTGGAAACGGTTCTGATTTTGTCGAGGGTGCCATGGTGGGCGGTGGGATGTGGTGGTGGTGGATGGCTGGTCAGTCGGACAACCTCCGGGATGGAAGACGAAGAAGCGCAAGACTCGAGGGATTCCAAGTATCCAAAGGTGGTTACTGCTTTTCGATTCTCCTTCAAAGCCACAGTCGGACTCTGACCGTCTCTTGATTTGCGCCGAATCAAATCACGTACAAAACGCCGAAGGAGGAGGAGTTCGCGTGTGTTCGTTCCACCGGCAGGTAAGCAAAAAAGGAGGGGCGTGACCGAATCCCGTGAAACTTGGGGGAATTAAAACAAAGAATAAGAGTAAGCTGCTGCTGCTCGTCTGCGGTCTACAGCAGGTAAGCTGCAAGCAACTGAAGGCTAAACAGCACCGTGAAAGAAAGAAAAAGTTTCTTGTGAAGAAGTTTGGAAAACAGAGCAAGGCGGCAATTCCGAGTTGGAAGATGGTCTTTTTCTTTTGGAGGGGGAGTGGCCTCAACAGTTGAGACGGGGGGCCGGGGGTCCAGAGCTACACCCGTTCGGTCTCTCTGAGACTCTCTTCACGTATCGCTCAGCCGCGGGACGGAAAGGCGGTAGGGAGCACGCCTCGTCCTCAGCGCCCAGGATGGACTATACGCAGGACTAGGGGGCTGACATGACGCTAAAATGCTTCATTCGGGTGTTCCGTCCGCGGCCGACCCCACAGACCGCTTAATTGGACCCTTGTTTCCACCGTCATCCTGTGAACATTCGTCGCAAAACTCTCAATTTTTCTCGTCCCTTCCCCATCAGGTTAAAACGCCAAGCTCACTCGCTATTAGTCTCGCCAAAACAAACATTCATTGGCCTATTCAGAAAGCACACTGGAGAGTGTCGACGGGGATGATCAGGGGTTTTGAGAAGGCTGGGCTGCATTGAAGCAAGAAACCATTAACAAATGGATTGACCAAATACCCCAAATACAGTAGGATTGTATAGATCTAGAGGGCGCTTGAACCGGGCATTAATTTACAATAAAAGCATTCATTTTCGTGGTGTTTTGGTTGATTTCTGGTTCTGGACTTGGGTGTCATCAATTTTGTCATGGGCGAGCCGAGGCTGGACTGGACCACTCTCTGGAAGGGAGTCTCTGCAGGTCCCGATGGAAGAGTGCAACTCCAAGGGCTGCCGAGTCCGCAGAACCCTGCTGATATGATTATTCTGTACATGCGGTTTGTTAGCAGAAAAGGGGTTCACACTTCACCAGGGATTTCGACCAACGTCAGACCTTCGCCACCGGCCGCCTTAAACAACTCTATCTTTGACATCACTCAGGTGCATGAGTGTAAGACGAAAACGAGACAGATCTTGACAGGGCAGTTTAATACCTGTGAAATTGATTCATCCTTCATAAAGGGTTGGTATTCAAAAACGCCATCAAGGCGAAACCAAATATATAATGAACACCCAGAAAGATTGCATATGAATGTACATTCAGACATATAACAGCATATATCCTCTCCCTGTGCCTCTTCCGCGGGCCCCGAATATCCCGAGGGTGATGGTGATGACAATGCATAAAAGCGTGATAGCTCACCCAAAACCTCCCAACCTGAACGCCCTTTTTTTGATCCTCGCTAGACGCCAAAACAGTGCAATAACAAGTGGTATCTCCTATAGAAAACTAACATAGAAACAATCCCAAAAAACGCCCATGGATACCTAGATGGAAACGCGCGCCAACCCGCCCGTGTCAAGGAGACGGTGTCGTTGTCGAGTTGCTTCTCGCCGGTTGCTTACCCAGAGCAACTGACGACGGTGACTGCGGCTGCGATGGTGCTCTGGTTGAGTCCTGTCGCCGTGGAGCTGGTATCACCGTCACAGGCAGGTGGTTATACCGGTTGTTGGTAAAAGAACCCTGAGTGACGATTGGACTGAGCCGTGGCCGTGACAATTGCGCTGTGCTCATGGCGCTGCTTGCCGCTCGTGGTGGAGGAGAAAACGTAGTTTGTGTCGGGGTATGGGTCACCTCTACCGCAGTCACCGTTCCCGAAGCGTTGCTATTCCGGCTTTCTTCCCTGACCGTCCCCTCCCTTGATGAGAGATTGAGCTCTTCGTCCTCACGAAGCTGGGCGAGTGCGGCGCCGCTGCGCGGCGGCGCAGGGATAACGGTTACAGGCAAGTTGTTGGTATCCAGCGTCGGCCGGAACTTCTCGCGTAGCTTCTCTGCCTGGGTTGCTGCGAACTCGTCGACTCTAGCGCGGAGGTCCCAGCGAGAATTCTCGTCGCGCTGCATCTTACTGCCTCGTGGCTCCGAACGCGTCACGAAATCCCGGCTCGAAATCGCTGGGGCAAGTGCGTGCCACCTGTTTCCTGCCGATGGCGTTTCTACCCCCACGTGGGAGTTTTGTGTTGAGCGGGCATCCTGAGTAGGCGCTGAGCCGGGACTTGTGCTCCCATAGTCTCTATGTCGACTGGAACCACGACTCTCGCTTCCCGACAAACGCCCCATATTGTGTGCCGGTAGTGGCGTCCCATACGATGTCGGTTCTGTCATGGTATTGTACCTGACAGCGTATATGGTACTCGCGGCACTAGTAGTGTCCGTCCGGCTCACTGGTGTGGCTGCCGGAGTTGGTCGTGCGGGCCATAACGGCGGTGGTAAGAACCGTGGGATCTCGTCGTCGTTTGTAGTATCCGCCACCGGCGAACTTCCCTGCTTGGGCTCGGTTTTGGAGCTGGGCTCGCTCCGGTGCTTTAATGTCAAGTTGCTAATCTTCGGCCAAACACCGAACCTCCACAGGCTTGATCCGCCATCTTTTCCACCTCCACCACTTTCCGTATCTTGCGAATCTGAACCGCCCGAACCCTTTCTCCTCCTCTTTGGCCAGGCATGTTCCGACTGTGATGCCTCGAGCATCTCGTCCCCATCGAAGACTTCTCTTCCCAATATTCCATCCTTCTTTTCTTCCCTTTCCAATGCTTCGATTCTCTCTACCCATTCCCAGACAATGACACTAGCTGCAGCAGCCCCCACCCATCTGACGTAGTCTCCCCAGCCCGCAAAATCAGGCTTCGAAATATCGAGGATGAAGAACACAACAGGAACGAGGATGGAGACCACGGACAGGGCAGCCACGAGGATCATGTTCTTCATCAAGGGGTGGTAAAACGCGTACCGCTTCTTCATAACCGAGTAGTATAACACCCAAGCAGCATAGAGAACTCCGAGGGCGAGGGCGAACAGGTAACTGAGAGCCGGCACAGCCTCGGTGAACTTGGGCCGTGTAAGGTCGGAGCCACCATACTTGAAGCTGTTGAGTGATTGGAAAATGACGTCTAACGTGATGAGCGCAAAAGCCGTCCATTTGATAATCACCTTTTCTCTCTGACGCGGGAAAAGACGAATCAGAGTTTGCGCTTGGGCGAGCCATAGAAACGTGTCGGATATGATGCGGATGATTTTGAGTTCGGCCCCACCAAGGACATCTTCTTGTAGTTGTGTGGCGTTCTGGACCCCCCAGGAATACTGTTGTTCGGCGACGCGAAACGTAGCTGCGTTGGCGATGGTCAGTGAGATGGCGACCGAGAGGGCTGCAACTTTCTGCAACCAAGGACGTCCGCCGATACTGGTGCCGCCGCCGCCGTTTGTGAACCCCTTGCGTCCCAGAACAACCACTCCGCCATCGAGAAATGACCTCGGTGTGATGAAGAGCATGATAACCAAGGTATATGCGATAATTGTCGTCGCCGCAAGAGCGTAGCATTGCGGAAATGTCGACGCATAGAACGGATCACGCCAGTCCGAAAAGTGGGAGTCGTCATCTGCTTTCAGTCCCATGCTGCCACTTCCAGTCCTCCCTACGCCTCCACCAGAAGCAATGATATTGGGAACGGAACGAAGAGCGAGGCCACAGGATGGCGGTTTGAAGGCGGCCGGAGCGCTAAGCGTAATGATCTCGCCATTCGGGAGTTGGAGAATGCCTCCTTCGGGGAGGTTGAAAGAAGCGCAGTTCATGCTGGATCGGTCACTAGTGACGGCAAAAGACCGCTGGGAATGCGCTTTGGCAATCCTTCTGCCTCTTGCTATCTATGCCTCAATCGCCATGAAGTATGTTCTCTCCGGTGTCGCATCTGACGCGCGCGCGGCGCCGTAATCGTGGTTGTCGTCGAGGCTTGTTGTTCGCAGTCGTCGGGATTGATGTCGCGAATGTGGCCCTATTGCCGAAATCCAGTTGGCGTCCTTCAAGGTGTCGTTCAATTGCCCTCACAAATGCCCCTCTCCGATCTCCCCCGCTTTATTTTCTTAGTTCGGATAGTTCGCGATCACTTTCCCAACATGTAATGCGATCGCTATTCGCGACAAGTATGATGTCGTGATAGCGAAGTAGGGCGCGAAGGTGTTACTGAAGGCCCTGAGCTTTCCAGAGGCTGGGCGCCGAGAAATCGTGATCGTAGGTGGCCTGGACTGCCAGAAAATAGGGATCGAGGCGCTGGAAATCAATTCTGGCGCTGAAGGTTGACGTTCGTATGCTGCTCGGCCGGATGTGCGAACAGGAGGTTGTCGAGGTGAGCGTTTCCGGTCAGGATACGAAAGATTGGTGGTGTCGTCTGCAGTGCCTCGACAGCGATTGGAGCTCTGTGGTTCTCTTCGCTTCGCATTCAATGAGGAACGGGGAATTGCGGTTGGAATGGCACCTTCTTCAGGATGTAGGCGCAGAATGTAGCCCTCCAACGCTCCGTCCTGTAAAGCGGGGATACCGATACCGTGCTCCAAACCTGGATGCACTGTCCATCTCGGCTCACTCTTGCAGGGAAGCGCCGCAGAGTGTTCCCAAATCAGTGGATGGGGCCGCCACTAGGAAGGTGAACTAACCTAGAATGTATCAAGTGAGAGCTTGAACGGAATCCGCAACTCACTGGAGCCGGCATCGTGAGTCCCGTGCTTCACCTTTGTCAGGCTGTGGATTTGTCTACTATGTATGACGCCCTCGGAGTGGATGTGATCTCATGTCCTGGATACACTATTCACTATTCAACTCGGAACTCAAAGAGGCATGTTTTGACAGAACGTGCGATCTGCTGTCGAGAAGTGAGGTACAGTAGTAGAGTGTGAGTGTTCCAGATCTAGACTAGTTCCCGGCCGGAGGTTGTCTCCTTAACTTTACCTTCGGAATCAATGCACACGTAGACCCATTTCAATGCGCACGTAGGGCCCCCCACTTTTTAGGGTGTATAGCCAATCTCTGGCTCCCAACCGCGCCCGTCAACCTCACCACATCGCCAGTCAAAGTATATTCGCGAGCGCGCCCTCTTTCGTGCTTCAATTGAAGCTATCGCCATCTCCGTCGCTATCGTTGTCGCTATCGTTGTCGCTACTATCGTCATCGCTATCTCTACAACTACCACTATCACTCTCAACGGGATCGTTATTGCGTTGTTTGCGACTTCCCCGTGATCCGCCGCGACGCTTTCGCTTCTTAGTCTATTGGTCTTCAGATGGATCGTAGACCTGCTCTCCCTTGTCCAGTTTGTCGAGAACGCATCCTATTTATCCAATTCTTCGTCAAGATGGCAACAAACGGCAACACCAATACCAATTTGAACAACTCTGATAACCTTATAGTACCTTAGCCAATTAACTAGATTGGAGACTCTAAATGACTTCAATTCGCGGCTAATACAAATATATTGAACACCCCCAAAAAGTAGGGGGGTCTACGTGCGCATTGAAATGGGTCTACGTGTGCATTGATTTCGCTTTACCTTGGTCTTCCACACCTTGTCTAGTGCAGAGTCACTACTGGTGGTCGAGGTACGGAACATGCCGAAACCTCAGACTTGCCACGATTTGTCAACGCTGGAACAAAATGCAATGATCAGTTGTCGTGATGGATGTGAGGACAGTTGGAGTACCGCTTCTTTCTTTCTGTCCGTTGAGTGCCTCTAAACACTGCAGCACCTGTACTTTCTAGGCCGATCGATGTGAAGGTGTTGAAGAGAATCAAACTGAAGAGCTCAGTCCTCCTCCTTTCTATTCTCGTCTTTAGCGACTCTGGTTCTTCACACTGTGTTTCTAATCGGACTCGATCCGCGATCACGATTTGCGGGGCGGATCCAGACCCGTCAACAAGACACACACACACGAGCTCACACCATGCGAACAAGCACACCTTTGTCAAACTCAACACACTCACATGAACCATGTGGGAAGGCTTTAGAAACAGCTTGCATTTCTACCCCGCTCCCGGGAGAGATCAGCTTTCTGGACCTTCCACTTGTGCCCAAGGTGGAACCGCTGGCAGCGAGATGCTGGCAAGGAACGATGATCATCAGATACGCTTTCACAGAACTGTAGAAGGAGCCACGGTATTTCAGTCATTGGGTCTCACTCTAGATGACTGTACAATATCCCTCTATTTTCCTGAGGTTGTTTTCGTTCCTCGACCGACCACACACAACGCACGTACTGTCACATGGCTCGACCTTGGTGTTGGGATATATCTGCCGCTCTGATATGTGAACACTGGAATACCTATAGACCGAACAAGACCCCAATTAAAGTCGAAGATCAGAAGAAAAGAAAACTTTCATCTCATCCAGCTGCCAAGCGCCGTTGAGACTTTGGGGCATGATTGCTTGGCGAAGGCTTGTCCCTCGTGGGAGAAGGGTTTTGGCATCCGTCCGGCCAGTCACCATCAGGCCGGAATGTTCGGGGCCACGGGGTTGAAGCTAGCGCACCGTCCCGGCGGGAACAAGGTTGCAAGCTGCCAGTCAGTCGGCACCAAAATGCCGATTCTTCTCAAAGTCAGGGCCAAGGAACAAGCCAGGCCGTTGCGGGCAGAGGTCGTTGGGATAACTAACCTGACGTCAAAGTGTAGAAAGGCCGCTTAGGGCTTTTCTGTCATGCCTGATGATATTGCGGTTCAAGCATGGTGAAATCCATCAAGTCCTGAAAGTAAAGAGCTGATATAGGTGATTCTCCCGTTTGACGCAGAGGTCTAAATTCCACGGGAATAAATGAAGGGCCTAAGCTTTGCCAGGTGTGGAGGACTGCTGCTGATAGAGGCATCACCCATCCACGTTGGGTAGATTGTTTTGTTCTGCAACTAGAGATATCAAAGTTATTGAAGCTATCCGAATCATCTTGCGGGGCAGATTGCCAGCTGGCCCAGCCTATGGCTAAGGGCAATCAATGAGCTTCAGGATGGATATCAGAGCATGAATGAGGTGGAAAAGGGACCGGAGGCTAGAATAAATTTACCCACAGGCATTCTGATGATCCATCCCTCTAACCATTCTTTCTCCTTTTTCTCATTGCTAAGGTTTCTGCCGGTATTTGTGTCGGGCCTATAACTAGGTCAGGGAGTCAGGCTAGGATAACACTGATTTGCCCATGGCTGATGGGAGCGACCTAAAAAAATAAAAAATAAAAACCTATAGCACATGGAGGGTATGAGCACCAGTAGAGACGGGATATCAATAGAAATAATGAAGCATTCGAGACTTCATCCGCGAGGGATTTCATGTGAAAGAAGATTCTCAGTGGGGATGGTAGCGAGACGTACCTGATCTTGGTTGGCGTCCCGGCCACGATGTTTGGGAGTTGGGAGCTTGGGACGTCAGACGGGACCGAAGAGGGACCCAGTCCGATGGAACCCCACGAGTGGAGGGCAACCTTATTTGAACCGGGAAGCCCCTGGCGGAAAAGGCGCTGTTTCAGGTCCAAGTCCCCACGGCAGCGACTCCAGGCCTCCCAGCTGTCCGTGCTGCGCTGCAGCCTGCGTGTCGGGCCGCAAAGGCTAGCTGGCTAGACTCAAAATGCTCCCTGGCTAGACTAAGCTCACTTTTATCGCTGAATAAGCCTAGCCGCCTAGCCCAGCCCGCGCCAGCACACCGCGTACAACTGAGGCCACATAATTGATACCCGCGCATCACCAAATCTACGTCGTTAGCGTCATTTTTTTATATAAAGTTATTTAAAATTATCAATCCAATCAATTATCTATTACGGAGGGTATTAATATTATAATTATTAGTAATACTACTATCCTCTATATTAACTCTTATTACTATATATACTACACTTACTATATTTATTACTTAGAATATACGTACCCACTTAGCCGGGGAAGTTGTCCTTCAAAGGTGTCCCCGCTCCTTTTAATACCCCCTATATAAATGCTACCTAGAGTACTAAGAAAGCGGTTAAAAATTTACCCTCCTACTCAAATCCCCTAACGCTCATCTTTCACTCCGTATAAGTATTAAAAGTAGTACTATAATTATAAGGGTCTAATTATATTATATTATTAATATAACGTAACTTTATAAATTATATTACAATTAATTAGAGAGAAGAAGAGTAAAGTTTAAGTCTTTAAGAAGCACCTAAATAATAATAGAATTAATTAATTTAGTACAATAATTTATAGTACGAATTATAAGAGCCTCCTTTACTTCCAACCGTATAAGTATATAACCTCTTAATTTAACCGTATTTAATACCTAATCCCTATATTAATTCTAATAACTGCCTAAATTAAGGATTGGAGATTTTAACGGCCGCTTAGTAAATACTAATACTCTATAATTAAATTAGTTAGAATTAATAAGCTAAATTAACAGCTATTACTAAATTTAAAGATAGGAAAATAGGGAGGGCGCTAATCGTTAAGAGGGAATTAGGAGGTAAAAAGGCGAGGGCAAAGGAATTAGAATTACTTACAGGGGTATTAAAGAAGGCGTTGATATAAATTAAACTATAGTTTCTATAATTTAAATCTTCTTACATAATTTAATTTATTTAAATCCTTCTTCTTTTAATACAAAATTATTTCTAATAAATTAGCATCCTCCTTCCTCTCTAAATATTTTGTTATATTATCCGGCAAGGAGGTTCGTTATAAAAAAGTATACAGCGGTTATTATACTAATTATAATTAATAAGCGCAATTATAATAAACGCGGCGGCTTAGGGTTGAAATTAAATAAGTTAAGCAGGTAATATTTAATTATTTTCAAATTCGCGTAGCTTATAAACTTCCGGGTTTATAAAATCTCGCCCTAATATTTTATATATATAATTTATAAAATTTAAATCGGAGATAGCCGCTTTTCGTCAGCGGTTAAATAAAGTAATAAGGTTTTAAATTATATAAATACGATATTTAATTTCTATTATCGAACTGCCTAATTATTAGTACGTATTAATATCCTTTATAATAAGTATTAACAAGAGATTTATTTATGATAAGTATAGTATAAAATATTTATAAAGTAGTTTATACTACGTAGTAAATTCTTTCTTACAATTGAAATTTATATTTTAATATAGATTTCTAAATTAATCGTCATATATAGTAGTATTAGTATTATATAAATTTAAGGGTATATAGTACCACTTATATAAAAAGAAAGGAAATTAATTAATTAAACTTTTAAAAAATCATATGTTTACATACTTTTAATATTAAATTATCGAATATTCCTACCCTTTTATATTTATATAAAACTATTTATTTCGCTATAATATATTTAGATTTAAATTCCTATTTTTAAAAGCGGTAGGTAAATTATATATACTTGTACAATTAATCTAAAAAAGAGAAACTGTTCTTAAAGAAGCATTTAATAATTTTATATATAAATTCGATTCAATTAATTACTTTAATACTAAACTTTCTATATTTTAAAACAGCGTAATTATTAAATTCGTTGATTTATAGGAGGTAATATTTAAGAAGGTAAACGAAGAGAGCTATAATAAGACGAGAGAGGTTATTAATTAGTTTAGCAATAAAAAAAAAGGGTAAGCGAAAAAAATATATTATTTATTATAGAAAGGAGGGAGGGGGAGGTTTAATACGTATAAATTTATTATTTAAATTTATAAATTATTAAATACTATACCCGTTTGAACTAGCCTTTATTATTAATATAAATTACTTACTTCTAAGCCTTTTAGAAACCTTTATATAAATTTCAGTAAAATCGACGAAAGGGGTTAAAAGTAAGCACTTTACGACTATATAGAATAATAACTTTAATTATTAATTCTTTAATTATTTTATAAATTCTTTACTTAGTATTAAATTATTAAATAAAGCGGTTAGTAGTAGCAGTATTATTAACCTCTTTCAAGTTATTTTCCTTTAAGTTATTATTAGCATATTCATTATCGCTAATTTCATTATCGGCTTTATTATCGATAATTACCATAGGGCCTTTATACAATAGGGGATTAGGACCGTTATTACTTAAATTCCGGACTGTTAGCGGGAAATTTAAAAAATTAATATCGGGAGTAACATTATCACTACTATTACCCTTATTATTAAAAGGTAATTAAACCTACTTTTTTTTAATATAGTAATTTACATTCTTTCTAATATACTATATATAGAATTAGTATAATATTTTTAAGTAAATAATAATAGCGGCCTTCTTAAATCTTCTATCGAAATTAGGTAATAAGTACCATAGGGTTAGGAATTTTATAATCCTCTTAAAGCCTCTTTAAATAATTGAACTACTATTTAAAATCTTTTTATCTTTCTCCGTTCGAAAGATTGAAGCCGACGTTAAAGTTATAACTTAGTATATTAATACTAATAATATTAAGTAAGGGGAGGTTAAAGCAGTTAACCTATAAAGAAAAAAAGGGGTTAATTATTATTAATAAATAAAAGATCCTAAATAAAGGTATTAGAAGTAAATATTAAATATACATAGAAAATTCCAAATCCGAATAATTAAAGTTAATAAGGGTAATAATATAAGGGTAATATTTACTTTATACGTATTATTAATTAGTAAAATATAGGGATTTTTCTTTTATATTTTAATATATTAGTCGAAAGTCTAAAATATTCGTATTACACGTTCTCCGTTATATTTAATAAAATATTTAATACCGTAAAAATTCTTATATTATTTTAAGAAGTTGATAAATATTTTAATCGAAGAATAAGGATTATATTTTATACAGCGGATACGTTATTAAATATTTAATACTTCCTTTATTATAATAGGGATTCGAAGACTACGTAATTTTAATGTTAGATTATTACAATTAGTATATTAAATAATAACCGAATTTTCGTTTTTAGGATCTATAATACTATTTAAATAATAGGCAATTTAATAAGCGGTTATTCTAACAATATTAAACAACCTTTCAATAATAATATTAATAGCCTCTTTATAATTACAGCGAATTTATTATCGATAAATAGCATTACTAACGAAGTTAGCAATATTAAAGTTATAATTATAATTATTTTTAATTTCATTAATAAATTACTATTTACTTTACTTTACTTATAATATTATTTTTATATAATATAGGCAATTAAGGTATTTTAATATAATATTTCGAATATTTTACCCGGTACCGACTCTATAAGCGCGGCTATATATATAATAATAATCGATACAAACAACAACGGTTTCTTCTCCTTTCTTTCTACGTTTTATATTGACTCGTAATATAATTGTAAAACTTTATTATACGGCGTACTTTTATAATATATCGAACGTAATAACTTTCCTATTATAATTCGAAAAAGTAAATAGAAATTTCTATTTAATAATAGTATAATGTTTATTAGAGGACGGTAATTATAATAGCGAACACGACTTCGAAAGCTTATAATAGCGGGGACGGCGTATTGATAACGATTAAAGTTCGACGAGGGGAATTGTATTCTGTTTAGGAGTAATTATTCGAAACGAATTTAAAGGTATTTTAATTGGCAATTCTATTCAAACCCCGTTAGCGCTAATTATCTTAGTTAACTAGGCTAGTGACTTACTTAGGCAGGCGGGCGGGCGGGCGAGGAGGTATAGTAATACTACGAATTCGAAGATATTATATTAAATAATAATAAAGACGAAAGATAATTATTATAAACAATCGCCTAATATTAGGAGTAAGATATTGCGATAGCTTTATTTAATTATATAAGACTAACTATCGCTAATAGACAATACGATAGTAGCAGCGGTTGGGTAGCGATGTATACAGTGTGGTGTGCTGGCTGGGCTTACTTAGCGATAAAAGTGGGCTTAGTCTAGCCAGGGAGCATTTTGAGTCTAGCCAGCTAGCCTTTGCGGTGTCGGGCCCCCCTCTGTGCCTGCCCCGGCGCGGCGTGGCCCCAGCAACGGGAGTTATTTTGATTCTCACGCTGGTACACAGCCTTGTACTTTCCCAATTATCATCAACTTCTGCCTTTAGAAGTAAAGAGCGATATAGCAGGAGCCATAATAGATGTCATATATCGCCACCTCCTCATGAGGTGCCTAAATCTTCATCGTACGCCGCAACCGGTTTTTGCATCCAAAGCCTGGCTAATTTTACTCCTCAACCCCAACTATCCCGGTCAGGTTAGATCCCCGACCCATCGACACTTTTTATCTCGTTATCCTCTCCGCACAGCAGGGTACCTTACATCGATAGAGGAGCATCCGATTTTGTCCTAGTTTTCCAACAACAACGGGCAACTTGGAAATTGTCAATCCAACAACAACTTCACATCCATCATTCAATACTTCTTTCATCCCCGCCTCCTTTCATTCCACCAGGACCAGGACCCTCTTTTTACCGACCCGACCACCTGTGCGACACCCATTGTTGTTCGCTTTTCCGCATTTTCGCTTCTCGGTCAGGCTCGAGGCTGTCGCCTAGAGGTATCCGTCATCTTACTTGTTTCAGCAGTCACCCTTGTCCTTCATTTCTCGACACTCTATTCCATCCACTCGCTGGCTCTCCTTTTAGGAAACGATCCGTCGCATCGGTCTTGATACAAGCTGCGACATCATCAATCCAAGCTTGAAGCATCTGCTCCCATCCGTTCGACATCAAGCCATTGCGCAGAACCTACACATCGATTCTTTGTAGACTACTTGAGGAACCAGGTCCTAGCCGTGACAACATCCCGTGTATATCATTCAACAGCCTTGTGTGTTTGCAGGCGCTTGACGCGGACCGCGCGCCAGACTCGCCAGCCGTTAGACGTATAGGGCTACAAGGGCCAGCGTTAGAGATACTAGCTGCTTCATGACCGAACAAGACTGACGGTGTAACTGCCCAAGTCTCCCTGTCTCATATCGTGAGCCACCCGGGCCCAAGCCACTGTTGTGAGCTTGCCAAGAATCAACGTGCAACTATTGAAGGGGCGGTTACAGAGCCGCTTGCATCAACATGACAAGACCCGAGATTATTCGTGCCGGTATGCCCCGTTCTCTTCATCTCGCTCACACACACCCCCGTCCCCTGGGCTAGTCGCAAACTGGCCAGGCCCTGGCTTCTCGTGGCTGCAAGGGCCTCGCGTTTCTTCTCAGACCTACACTCTTCTTGGTTGCATACATACCTTATCCATCTTCTCTAGACACTAATTCTCCTATTCCCTCCAGACACGATCGACCTCCAAGGCCGCGGCGCGCACTCTACTCAAGCCTACCATAGCTCGACATATAACCACGGACCCCTGGCTCCGCACCAGGCTGAGACCCTTCGTGAAGTTGCAGCAGAGGCGGCTGAGGAAGCGATTCATAGCCCCCGAGTCTCTTGGTCCGGAGGCGAGGCTGGTGGCCTCCATCACTACGCACACGATCACGAAACCGGCGTTGGCCAGGCTCACGACAACCTACAAAATCAACTCTATAACGGCGGTGGAAACAACATGGCTTCGCGCTCGCACCAGGATGCCTTGGCCATTGCGCAGAATGGCGGGCATTCCGACATTGATGATGGGGACCTCGACGGCGATAACGAGATTGATGACGACGATGATGGAATGGACAAGATCTCCAGCTCGCCTTCGATAGAAGACGGTGGGTCCTCCTTTACTCTTCCACTCTTGCCGCCACACAGTTGCGACGGTCTTACCCTCCCACGAGGCTCACCCGAAAGTTCGTTGGCTTCGTCTCCAGTCAGCGACCCGAGGTCTTCTTCTCCGTACCTCAACCGTCCTGACTACTTATCTCCTGGTCGTGCGACCCAAGCCATAGGCGAGAGCTCCCCCAGCACCCTTCGTCGCCATCATCATCATGAGGGTAAGTATGGGAACTTCGACCTAACGGGTGGTCCGACCCCAGGAGCCGAAGCGTACGCCTTTTTAGAGGAGGAGATGCGTGTAAGCGACAAAGAGCCTACGACCGAGCCACGAGAAGAGGACTAGAACTCCCGCTGGTTGCTTTCGGAATACTCGTCTAGGCTGAATGGCAGCAAATTCAGCGCCGTTGCGTCAACGGAGAATACGTCAGGAGCGGCAGCAATTCGAACGTCAGTGAAAGGTTCAGGGTCGGAAAGCGACAGTCCTAGGTTGACGGTACCATACGAGTCCGACACAGATGATGATGGCGACTTTTCACGCGTTCACGATGCAGACTTCCTCGAATCGGGCTGGGGTGGAGAGTGCTTACAAGATACAGAGGACATCGATTTCGAGTTTGTTTACGCCCTCCACACCTTTGTCGCTACTGTCGAAGGGCAAGCCAACGCGACAAAAGGCGACACCATGGTTTTGCTCGACGACAGCAACAGCTACTGGTGGCTAGTGCGCGTCGTGAAAGACAGCAGCATCGGTATGTCTTCCCTGGGTGGTCAACGAGCTTCGGTTGAAATAGTCTAATCTGATCTGTTTTGTAGGCTACCTGCCCGCCGAACATATCGAGACGCCAACAGAGAGATTGGCACGTTTGAACAAACACCGAAACATTGACGTAGGACCAACCCTCTAGTGTCTTCGCAAACCAGAATCTATGTGCTAACAGTGCCTAGCTATCCGCCACTATGCTTGGGGATCAAGCTGACAAGCCTCGAAACGCCATAATGTCTGCGATGAAACGAACGAAGCGAAAGACCGTCCAGTTCGCTGCTCCTACATACGTTGATTACTCTGATATTGATTACTCTACGGAAGAAGAAGATCTAGACGCAGAATATTTCGGTCAGCAGCAACAGGCACAGAAAACGCAGCAGTCGAATGTTCAGCAAATAGAACCTGACACGGACCCCGAGGACGAGACAGCAAAGGTTGAACCTCTAAAGCCCAGGCCACTACAAACGAAAACGGGTGAAGACAGCGCAGGTCGATCTGGGATTCGAAACAGCGAAGAAATCTTCGAGTCGAAACCGAGCGAAGGACCTAAGAAGTCCAGCGACGGAAATGTCCGGGACTCCTTCTTCAAGGACGATGTTGAAACCAAGAAGATCACCCTTACTCCTAATCTTCTCCGCGACGATTCCGCCACGAGGACGTCCAGTGATTCAGTCCAGTCGAAGCAGCGTCCAAGCTTGGATAAGCTCGAGAAAGACAGCCCGACCAGCAAAGATGACAAGAAAAGGAAGGAGAAGGAGAACTCAAAGAAGCCTAGTGCAATTCGAAGCTTCTTCTCCCGAAAAGACAAGAGGAAAGGACAGGAAGATGATGAGACCCACGGAAAGTCGCCCCAGGATGCCGACGGCCACGAAAGGGAACATGAGGAGGACGAGCGGAATATTCTGTCATCGCCGGAGAGTGCACCAGCCCCGCAACGAAATCCAAGCAAGTTGCAAAAGTCACAACCCACCAACGCGAAGCCCATTGCTGGAATACTCAAGGATACCAGTATGGATGCGTCAAACTACATGTCTGCTGGAAGGATCAACAATGTCTCAAACACTCCTCCTTCTACAATGCGCCTGGTCGAACCGGAACCAAACGATATGACAGAAGGAAGCCCGCAAGAGCAAAGAGGGAATAGGGAACAGTCACCAGAATCTTCCAGGAAGCAAGAGAGCGTGGGTCAATCTCGGGATGCCGGGGCTCAGCAGCTTACCCAACCTCAACCCCGCTCAGAGATGGATTTCGATTCTGATGAAGATGACAACACGGGTCCTGCACAAGAGCTACCAGCAACAGCCCAAGAACCCCAGAGGCAGCAAGAGCGGTCTGCACCAGCTTCTCGCAACCCTTTCGCTACCGCACAGCCTGCGGCTTCTAGTGTGGCGCCGTCACATCAGCAGCACGCTGAGCGCTTGTCCGAGTCTCCTGTACATGTTTCACCTGTTCAAGCTGATCACCGGACTTCGCCGACACCTCCTCTGATGGCTGACTCATCCAGCCAAGAGGATCGATCCTCAGAACGACTTACGCCGTCACCGGAATTGGTTGAGCATGAAGATGATGGAGCGGATGATAAGGACATTGCTCCTCCTTCACCAGTTTCGGCTAGTACGCCCACCTGGAATGATGCCAGTCTTCGTGCCTTCTTCGACTCGGGATCTGAGATTCGGGATATGCTTGTTGTGGTCTATGACAAGTCGGATATTGAACCTGTTGGGCCAGATCACCCAATTGCCGGCTCCTTGTTCAAAGAGCAGAATGCCAAGTTGGCGGAAATCACGACGGTAAGTTTACATGTTCACCTGACCTTTTCAAGAGTGTGCCGTTTCTAATGTGACATTCATACAGCAACTTGACAATATGCTCGGTGACTGGCTGGCTCGCAAGCAGAGGTTGAGGGGCGCTGTTTGAACCTCTCATCCTGCTCTTGTTATTGTTCCTTAAAGACCCCGGCGAAGGCCGTCCTGCCTACCTTGAGCGTGACTGGAGAGGGACTCATGCTTTTACGACTCTGTATGCTCGATTCTTTCGCTCCCCTTTTCTCCCTTTCCTTTGTCATGTTGTCTATTTTCTTTCCACTTATAAACGGTGGGATTTCGAAATTGCTCAAGCTCGTTCGGCCAGGCGTCTGAGAGACGGCGTCAGGGAAGGGTTGATGGGTACGTCAGGTGGATATCATCTGTGTTCGATTAAAGGAAATGGGCGACATCTTGCAACAAGTGCCCAACCGGAAAAAAGTTTCAACCTCGGCGGGAGTTCAGAGGATCTGCGATTCCTTATATACCTTTCTCAGTATCATTATTACCATCGAATGTCAAAACTGACGCGAATTTCCTTTGTTCTGTACACCTTCTCTTCCTCCTTCTTCTTCTTTCGGTGATGGTTTGAGATGTTGTTGGATGGATGAAGCGCTTGTTATGCGTGATGGAGTTGAAAAGTAAACTCTGGCGGTGGATCATGAAGCAGGATTCTTCGTGAAATTCACAAGTCTGCATGACCAAGCCTTGGTGCTTTGTATCTACTAGTCCAAGTGATATATCCCCAACCTAGGTAGTTGAAGATTCCAATGGCTAATGGTAACCTATGCTCACAGCTCAAGAGGTCCTCGTGAGTGCACTCCAGCCGAGTTCCCAATGCTCTTTCTGATTTTTTTGCTTTTAGTTGGACTGTTAGTATCAAGTTATGACACAAATACCGAGTCGAGCCGAGTTGAGATTGAAGCTCCTTCCATCTCTTCTGCTTGCACTTTCCGTTTGCGCTTTCACCTCTTTTCCTTTTCCCTCCTTCCCTCCTCCGCTACTTCCCATCTCCTTCTGATTATGCGGTCCCCTTGAAACAACGCATGCCGTCATACGATTCGCCAGACGTTCAGTGAATCTTCGTCAGTTTGTTCCACTCATTCGCCTTTCCAACCTTATCATCACCTGCCCGTTCTCTCGAAGGTTTTGATCCCTATCTTGCGTATGACCTCGCCGCACTAGCCTCACAGTCACATCAGTTGAGCCGACAGGCTGGTTCCCACTCGGATTTCCTTTACAAACACACTTTGTACGGCGAAAGGCCACCGGTTACCAATTCTTCCGCTGCCCTATTCTTGTCGAATCTCGGATCCTGCGGCGACATACCACTCGGTGACGAATTATCTCCCTCCTCGGGATATTGACTGAGGGGAGTCAGGAACGGAAAGAAAGGACGTGTAGACAGGTGAGTATTCCTCCCATAGGCTTTCCCGTGCAGCTATGGTTGGATACCGGGAGCAATTACCCGAGAATACTAACCATTGGCAAAATGTCACCAGGAACTGATCGCATCACTCGCACCCCATTCGACTTCTGCATCACCCAGCCCTCAAATTCTGCCACAACCGAGTCTTCGTCGCCCTATAGTCTAATCTCCAGTTGAGGAAAAAAAAACCCTGACGAATTGGCAATCGCAATTGCCTGGACGCGAAGCTTGAACTCGATCCATTTGCCGTTACCCACTACCAGTTCATTCCCACGATCAGTCACACAACAACCAGCTCGAAACTCTCACCACGCAACACAGTCACCAATGGCAACTCCACGAGCTGCTAAGCCTCTGCAGTGGCTTGCCCTGTTCATCATGGTCTTAATAACGGCCTCTGCCGCTATAACACTCGACGACATCCAACCCATCACCTCCCTGTCAATCTCTCGCAACTGCCTGCTCACCTACAGAAGACCACTTCAAGGCTGCGACTCGGATGACTTCAACGGAAACAAGTGCTCAAGGAGTTGTGCGCAGGGCGTCCTCCGCATTGAGGATCTCCTCCAACTCTCTTGCCCTGACGACACCGCCCCGGCAAACTCGCTTCTCGCAATGGCATTGGGAGACCAGCTCCTCGACTTCTTGTGCCCGGACGAGCCTCAGACCATACCCACTTCTTTCACATCCGAGGGTACAACATTGACACTGTCCTCGGTTCAGCCAGAGATGACAACTACACCTAAGGCTTATCCAACACATACCATGAGAACATCGACAACCGAGAAGCCTGTCGAGTCAACAACGTCTGAAGGTCCTGCGCCCTCGGCGGGTGGAAAAGCGCCCAATGCCCCCGAACCGACCGTGACCTCAGAGTTGGAGTCTGTGTCTACGACCACACCAGTCTCAGCAACCTCAGAATCACCCCTAGGGACAACAAGTGATGCCGTGATCAGCACATCTTCAATCACAAGCTCGGTCCAGACCATTGTCGGAAATCCTCCTATTAGGGGCGGCGGCGGGAGCCCTTTTGACCTTCCTTTTGGTGTTATAAGTGGTCAGCAGAGGCTCTCCATGTCGGGATTTAGAGCTGCCTTTAACACTCTGTTCCTTGGGGCGTTGTATCTATTGTTGTAGATAAGGGCCGCGAGTTATGGGAATGATGGTATCGGTTGGGATTTCAGTTGAGGATGTGAAGCATTAGGTGTTATCTGCAATGATGATAATGTGTAATGTTGACCACGTTGTGTAGTCTTTACGGTTATGCGATGTAAGCGGAATGTACCAAGTGAAGCATGGCGAGAACAAGAAGATGGTCTTTCTACTCTATCCTTTGAAGGAAGAAGAATGTATTCGTTGGAGGAAGGTATCGAAAAGTAGCATATGCCGCCTTTTACACACAATGGAGATTTTGCGGTAGAGTATAGCACGATCGCTCAACATTAGGTAAGTACTTGAAACAAAGGAAGAAAATCAACGGTAGCTTTTGTGAGGTTGATGTGCTTGTCTTGTGGACTACGACTTGGTAGCGTAGTCAAGCGATACATGGTATACAATATAATGCTGGTTTGTTTGTTAGCTTGGTACTCCTGGTATACTGGACGAGATCTATCCAGAATTGTCCCAAACCCCACAAAGATTAAATGAATAGCTAGGTACGGATCGGAAAGGCATTAATAAAATTCAATATAGCACATCAAATTTCCAAAATAGTATATGCAAGGTAAAATTACACTTTGGTTATGGAACGAAACGGATCAAATAGATATATAAACGCCTAGGAAAGTTGACCAGAGGTCTCGAGCTAACAAACAAACCAGTATTGGACTGTACGCTCAACCAGAAGTGTATATAAACCATCCTTTCAACACCAAATAAACGAATACAGTCAAAATACTCCTCCAACGCCCCCCAATGACCCGGAGTACCTTTTACACCATTATCTCCCATACAACAATAGAAAATATACCCATTACACTTCATCACTGCACATGATAATCACGACCTCTTAGCCCCAACACCCATCTCCTCCCCTCCAAACTCCTCCCACTCATCTAACCCCGACCAACCCCCTCCTCCCCCTGGAGAATTATACGTCCCAGCACCCATCTTGCTCCCCACCCAAATCCCCAACGCCGTCAATGCGCTGGCAAAAAGAAACCAACTTTCAAACCAGCGATCAACAAACCCCGGCTCCAACGCGCTCTCCAGCGCATCCCCCACACTCCTCCCCACCTCCCGCGGCAAATTACTCCGCAACAACAGCGCCGAGCTGATCACGTACGTGGCCGCGATCTGGGCCGTCAACAGGGCCAGGTTGGCCTGCGCTTGGTACAGTAGACCTGGCATCCACTTGGCGAAGATGCGGAAGGTGACGATGACCGAGTTGGCGGATCCTAACAGGATGACTCCGGAGAGCAAAAAGGAGATTTGGCGCGCCCAGGCGACCTGGTCGAGTTTGGGGTCCCAGTGCTTGGCGAGGAGGGAGAGGAAGCGGTTTATGGGGTCGGTGGAGGAGAATGTGCTTCCTCCTCCCGTAGAGCCTGTAAAAGAGCCTGAGGGAGTGGTGGAGGAGGAAAAGAAGAGGAGGGAGAGGAAGGAGTAGTGGTTTCGGCGGAGAGTGGTGAGAGTGGTGGCTAGCACGCGGTAGATGCAGTAGAGGCTGAAGATGTAGGAGGGTAGCGATAAAAGACGGCCGAGAGGGGTGCCGTCGCGGGCGTGGGCGGCTTGGCGAGACCGTAAAATGGAGAGCGAGGAGGAGAGGTTGGATTCCATTGTTTCGAGCCCGGAGATTTCCATTTGAAGGGACTTGATCTCGGCTGCTTCTGCTGAGGAGCCGGTGGCTATGCCCTTGAGGGAGCCGATCATTTTGCCGACTAGAGTGCTGTTGCTGTTGCCGTTGCCCATAGTGTTGTGGCTGGAAGCTTCGGCCCGCCGGGCTAGTTTGTCCTGGAGAGAGCGCAGACGATGTCGCTTGGTGGCTAGCATCTCGCTCGTGGCATCGAGCCCAGCTTGTTTTCGCGTAATGTCTGTGTCGGTGATGGGCCGCTTGCGGAAGGCCCGGTTGTCGGCGAAGGTGTGCCATGGGCTCGAGACGCTGGCGAAGCCGGAGAGCAAAGCCATGAGCAGGATGCCGATCACGCCGATGCGCTCCAGGCACGCGCGGGCGAGCCTACCGCCTACGAGAACGTCGCCTACCGACTCGGCTTTGGCCTCGGCCCGTCCGATGGTCAGCGCGGTGCTGTCGAACCCGGCCCCGTCGCTGCTGGCTATCCCCCACAGGTACTCGGTCCCGTCGGGACGGGGCACCGCCTTGCCTAGAGACCAGAAGAGGAAGAGCCAGGCGCTGAAGCCGAGGAGTTGTAGGGTCCAGGCGATACGTGGTACACGCCCCTTTGCTGTGCGCTGGAAGGTTGCCAGGCTAGAAACGACAGACTGTAGCTCAAGGAACGGTATGAGGACCACGAGCATGAAGAGGAGTGTCGGCACCGTGAACCGCAGGGCAACAGCGCGGGCGTGAGCACTGACGAGGTCCGAGATCTCGGCCAGGATGAGCTCTCCGAGCACGGCGGCCAGGCCTATGGTAGCGGAGAAGGTCATGGCGGCTACTCGGCGGCGCATCGATCGGGCCCCGCGCTCGGCGTGCGCTTGTTGGAGACTTGGAGGTGCTGACGGGGGCAGGTAGTGGCCTTCGCCATCATCACGGTCGTCTTGTACGCGGGAGAGCTTCGGGAATACCTTGCCGGCTACTACCGAGCTGACAATGGCAAAGGTAGCGATGAATGGCGAAAGGGAGAATAGGGTGCTGATGGGCGAGGCCGGAATGGGCGCTCCGCAGGAGTCGACGCCGCAGGACATTGGAACTGCGGTCGGTATGTATAGATGGTGATGTTGGGATGCTAAACTCCGATATGTAACCTGGAGCTTGTCGCAAACTTCCTCTCGTTATTTTCCTCCTCTCTTGCGGTCGCCAGATGTTTCTCGATCGCCTTTATGAGTAAGTAGCCGTAGTCGCAAAGCGGATCCAGAGGTCGATGCCAGGCTCGGTCGGCATCGTGTGTTTGTGTGTTTCAGCTTGTTTTGCAATTTAGTCGTCGAGGTCCAAGCCGGAGTTGAATAGGTGTTTTGTCCCTCGAGTCTCGCTACTCGTCGGGTTGGTTTAGGATAAGCAGTTGCCTCAGCTGTGTTGAGGTTGGTCGATAGTTACTGTGACGTTTGAAAAGGGATCCATAGATGACGAATTACCTACAGAAAGGTACATGCGCTAAAACGCAGCCAGGCACCACCCCAGTTTTCCCCGGCTTCAAAATGAGACAGCGGGGTGCACCCCCTATTTGCCGGTTCTTTGCACGCCCGCAAACGGCACCGCTTACAGCTTGTATCTTTCCCCACACCCCCACCGTTGAACGGCAATTGGAGTCTCTCCACGAGCGGTGCGCCCGCCCCCACATCAAGATCAGATCTCATTTTCCTTAACATTGGATCCAAGTTTCATGTTGGAGATCATCACGGTCAAAGAGTAAGAGGTTTCTTTACACGGAAGGGAACAAGTGGTGAATATTGTGTGGAGATTTATTTTGGCTAAGCTGATGATTACTCGGCAAAAGCTCTGTGGCCTCTGCCCATTACAACTACTGCGATTCCAAAGACACCTTGTTCCAGGTCCAAAATAATAGCAGGTCGAGAGTTCGACATTATCGTTTTCCTTATACTCCGGCTCCATGCAGTCTAAGGACATATCTCTGACTCTTAACGGTCCGGTATAGAAAAGAGGACCTTTTCACATGCTCACTGTTGTTGTAAACCTCCGTGAAAGGGGCCATCTGAGCACCTCGAGTGCCTATGATAACGATACTGGCTGATTTATGCTGAATGCCTGACAGGCGCCGAAATAATACCGTGGTCGAAATCCAGCAGCGCTGCAAACTAGGCTGGTATCATCTGGGAAGATTCCCCTTGTTCGTGTCTCAGTTATCCTCCGTCGCTTCCTTCACAGTTCGAAAGACCCGTCCTCATTGTTTGGTCTTGTCGCCTGTTCGCCCCTGGGTATCGTCCTCCTCATTCATCCTCGTCGTCCGAATCCCTTGATTTCCCTGACTGCCCTGACTTGAGCAGGGCAGCGGCTTCTCCTACTTCCATAGCGTGGAGTCGCTTCTTTTGTTCTCTCTCAAGTGCCAATTTCTTCCGTTCATCTGCAGCTAGAAGTTGGCCGCCCGAAACCGCCTCAATCTCGTACTCATCTTCCTCCTCGCCCGTATCTTCGTCGCCACTTTCGTTCGCTTGCGCCGTCTGTGACGGAGAAACGAAGGTTGTCCCGGCTGCTGTGGGAGAAGGAGCAGAGGGCGGAGATGTTCGTCGGTAGCGAGGCTTGTTAGGCTCGTACGGTTTGATGGTGGGATCGAACGCTGCTGGTAACCCAATCGCGGCAGCCACTCGGTGTGCCTCCTCGTCCGGAGAAATATTCTTTTCCATCTCGTAAAGACTGCTTGCGTCACCGTCGGCTTCGTGTTTTCCGTCGTTGTACGCCAGCATGGCAGCATAGCTCTGTCGGTTCGGATCGTGGGTACGTTTCTCCTTCTTTTTAAGTCGCTTGTCGTCTGGTCGAACAACGACCACGGGGACAGGGCTGTACTGGAGGCAGTATTTTGAGAAGGAGTTGCGCGTGTTCATCAGGCCCTGGATTCCGCCAAGAGACCTGCCCTTTGTGCCGACAACGAGCATCGAGGGTTGGTGGAGATGAAGCTACATTGATGCTCGTCTGTCAGTAAAAGAAAGACGGACCGGGCCAGTGGTCAGAAAGAAGACGTACCAATTTCTGGAAAGTAGAATGCAGTTTTCCAACGGCCCACTCGAGAATAATGCTGATAGCCCTATTCTGCTCGTTCTTGGATTGAATGGTTTGCAACAGCTTCCTCGCTTCCTCCTGGTAGGATTTCTCCCCTGGGCGGATTGGATTCTCAATGACGCGCACACATACTACCTGGTCTCCATCGTCGACCATGTTGTTTAGCAGCCAGACCAGCGCATAATCGGAATAGGCATGCTCGTCCACGCCCACCATAAAGGTACGAGACCTTCGAGATGGCTGGTACCCCTGATGTTTAACATGGAGTGTGAAGGAGGACGTGTTGTTCTTGGTCGAATCGCCGGCGGGTAGGTTGTCAAAACCAACGTGTTGTCGGAACCTGGGGGCCGCATTGGAATTCTTTGTTAGCGACGACATGACACCAAAAGCGACGGCAACTCTGCAGGTGGCAAGCTGAAGTGTAAGGGGATGAGATGTGTTGCGAGTGGAATTAGAAGCAAATTGTGCGTGATGGCATTAAAAGAAGCAGAGAAGAAGAAGTAACGACTGCAGATGGGTAATGTAGCAGCTTGGCCATGTGCTGGGACAAATCCCGAACTTCTTGAGATAGAGGTATCAAAAGTTCAAAAATGATGCCGGGGAGCAATGCGTGGATGATCGAAAGGGGAACAGAGCATCATGACGGGATGCGCATGTGGATGTGCAGATTTGAAGGGTCTCGACTTGCCCGTCATCCCCCACCAGAGTACTGCATGAGCGCAAAATTCCCACGAGACACCGCCCATCGCCCGGCCCAGAGCTCCCTAGCTCCCCCAAAGAGCCCAGAGGAGGGGTCACGGAGGGAGCCCCCTTTGGCTGCCCTTGGCACCCGTAGAGGTGCTGGAAACGGTAACCTCGACCGGCGCCCGAGCAGAACCCGGTGGGGTAGCGGGGTGCAAGCTAAGCGGACCGCGGGCGAATGGGGTCTTCTGATGGAGGGAGGCCAGAACGGCCGCCGGGCCTGAGCCTGAGCTTTTTTTTGGCGTGATGCGGGTCCAGTTCCCGCGAGATGTTCATTGCTCAGCTGTCTGGGCGGTTGATGTAATCCCGCACTGCGCTCTCCAGTGGCACCACACTCGTCATGATTCGAGGTCTCACTGTTTCCCTCAGCCCAGACGCAAACAAGACGACGATCCCAAATGCGGCGCAAACATGTCGACCGCATGAGACTTCACCATGTTGCGCTTGTGACATAATCCAATGCTGCCACGACATATGACTCTTTGCGAAGCACAGCCAGCTGGAGTGCCGATTGATCATGGCTGAAAATGGGAGCAGGACATGACAGGGTCCGCGAGATGGGGGAAGCCCACGACGTCACGACGGACCGTGGGAAAAAAGCTTAAAACCACGCCAGGGATGGAGAACGAGTCAAGCACAGGCTATCCCCGTTAGAAAAAGGCACCACTGGGGCCGCACATCGAACGGGTTTGGGCGGGGCGGGTGATACAGATGGATATAAGGCCAGAGACAAACAACTTTCCGAGAAAGAACTTACCTCACGGGGGAAGGTGATGACGCTCGCAGCCGTCTGTTGTCGGTCTTTCGGGGCTTGCCCTGCGGCAGTGCGGGATGGCGCGGAGCCTGGAAGGATATGGAAACGGCGGAGGATTTTCTAGATCCGACAGGAGGGCGGTCGCTGCTGCTTCCGCCGCTCTGTGACGTCCGCCGAGACTCATCCTGAAAGCTATCGGCCAGGGAAAGAGGGGAGACGATGCTGGCGCGCCTGGAGGCGCTGGTTCCGCTGGTAGGAGAAGTGGTTGCTGCTCGGTAATCGACCGCGGGGGTCTGGTTTTCCGAGTCGCTGGAATGCGCCTTTGCTTGCGGCGAGAAATAGTCCCTGGGCTTCGAAGAGTTCTGGGTCCTAGGTGACACATCCGAGTCGGGGCTCTTCACGGCCGAGGGTGATGATATCAGCTCCACCATGTCGGGGAGGCTCTTTGCCATCGCGGTGATGGTGGTGATTGGGGGCACGATGATGGGTCAAGGGATAACGAGTCCAAAGCCTATTATCCGGGCGACTGATCGGCCTCGAGGGGGAGGCCAGCAAGGGTTATCTGGCTTCAACCAGCATCGGAGGTGGATTGGGGATCGCGAGATGCTCGGGAGAAGCTGGCGTGAAAGGTCCGTTCACGCAGCTTCCAGGCGATAGGGGTCGGAAACAACGCCGTCAGCGTTGGGTCTAGCGAGTATATACGGCCGTGTCGTGAACAAGGGAGAGAAGCTGAAAGGTTGGGATTTGAGGTGAAACCCGCAAGTGCTGGAAGTGTTGACGATAATGTTTGCCTGGACTGGGTGGCGCGCGGGGATGGTTGGCAAGGCTGAAGGCTGTTGCTGTAAAGATGTGAAGAGTCGTCGCGGCAGGAGGAGATGAGTCGAAGTGCCCACGTCCACGTGGGTGATCGGAGGAGGTCCTGATATCGGATGGAATCTCGCCTGATTTTAGGTATGGAATGCGCAGGGGTAGGTAGTACGAGCAGACCAGCTCTGCCCGTAATGAGGTATGTGGTAAGGTAGATTGCGGCTATCTTGATAAGTAGTAAAGATAGCTCCCTGGATGTCGAGGTGATTCGAGGTAGAGGTGAAAGACGGGACGAAGGCGGGATGGGAGGTGGAAGGTGCCAGTGCCGGCCGGGGGGGTGTTAAGTGTAGAAGTAGGTAGATGTAGAGGTAGGTATGTGTGTGAATGCGTGCGTGTATGTATGTATTAGGTACCGTGTGAGCGTGTCTGGCTATAGCGTCATCTGTCGAATCCAAGCTTTCAAGGGAACCAAGGGCTCTGCATTCCGCTGCTTGGCGTTGCTCTGTTGCTGGCCCGAGACTGTGGCAGAGACGGATTCAGAAACCAACACACGTCAGGCTACCTCTCTCTATGCAAAATGCCCCTGGGAGAAAACCTGGAACGGAAGCGTGCCTTTGGGCGAGACAAGCCCGAGCGTGGTTGGCAACGCCAGTGATTTAAATATCACCGCCCAAGCTGGAGTCGAGCTTCCCCAGTGGCCCAGACTCCTTGTGACTGGAGCGACTGGAGTCCGTTCGGCTGTCTCATGCTAACATGCTTCGATTTTTCTCCTTTTGTCTTGGCGACCCTTTCGAGTGGGCTTTGGTGGGTAAAGACTGGCAGGTACCGTCCACTCTGCAGGGGAACGAGCCGGCGGCGGACACTGACCGAATGCGAATGACGAATGACGGATCCTCTGCTTTGTCGGACTGGAGCAAACTGCCCTGTGGATGGACTGCCCGTGGACTGTTGACTGGTGACAGCTTCCTACGGGCTACGGCCGGTCCTACGCTACTCCTACTACCGAATAGCTCCCTTTTTTAGTCGGTCTGCGCCAAATTGCTTCCTCGTGCTCGGTATTGAGCAGTACGATTGCAACCTCCCCACTGCCCTACCAAGCTAACGATTTCTGGAATTCTTAGTCCGTCTTTTTCTCCTTTCCGCCAGTGGTCTCGATGTCGGGTGTTGACTTGCTTCGATTGCCGACCATTGTAGCGAAGAGATTCACTTACAAGAGGTCTTTTTTCCCCAGATCTCACGGTCCAGACATACAGCTTTTTTCTTACTCCTCCCCCTGCTCGCTCTACCGTCCGGGGAACGTCTTAACGACGACGTCGGCTTACTCACAGAGAACCAATGCTACCGTGTGCTTGTACGGCGAGACACGACAGGTCAAGCTTTCTCTGTGATTCAAGAAACTAGTGCTTGGCATTGCCAACCACGGCATGAACCTGTGATAGCCCGCCTCGCCCTGGTGTTACCGGTGACCTCAAGATGGGTGGCCGTCTTACGGTCGAGGGAAGGTTTAGGTATTCATTCACTTCGCCCAGGGCCCCAGGCTATCGACCCTCCTCCGGCAGGCGCCTAGGCTACAGGGTCACTAAATGCGCATGGAACATGAGTGGGTTGTATTCCGACTGAACACCCCTTCGCCAACAGCAACAGACACATTTCACATAGGATCGTGACACACAGCATTCTTCCCTCCTACAAGCAGGCTTCCTCGCTCCTCCACGAGCCCATCGAATGTCGTTCAGGCCCAAGATGGTCACAAAGAAAAACCCTGGCACGGCCCTTGAGAGCCCTTACAACAGGGGCAACGACGAGGTTTTGACACCTGTCCGCCAAGTCGCTAATCAGTGGGGTATCGCTGCCCGCCCTGCCCGTCCTGCCCGTCTGCTGTGAGTAAGCTGAGCGAGCGGTCAACCGCAGCAATGCACCGGCCGGCTTTATTAGGGAGCCTTGCCTGGGGAAGCCCTGTCAATAGAGTGATTGGGGGGCCTGGAACCTGGAACGACGCTTTGGGATGCTGAAGGAATGTCACGGAAGGATGTGCCCGATGGGAGATGGGAGGGGGATTGTCCAGTGAAGATTGTCAAAGACGGCCGCTGCCGGAATCCTACCAAACGCCGCAGATCAAAAGGTGAGTCCTGCATTGAATGTTACATTTTGAGTTGAACTACTATGTACATACGTCTCATTCCGAGAAGATGAGTAAGTATTCGATATACAGGGAAGTTGGATGATGAAAGTGGTACAACAGAATTGACCTATCTCACCGTAGAAGGTCCATTTCACATGCAGATAGAAAGACCACGGCCAAGTTGGCTTGGCTATCGATATGTTACACGATAGATGCCTGGACGTTTCCTACCGGTACAAGATTAAGATCGCAGAAGAAAGTCCAACCACACACACTCAATACACTCCTCATATGTAAAGAAATCGATTACTCACTCGTCCGAGTACTCACATTAAGCCTATCCCATAAGAAGAAGAGACACATACATAGGGCAACACCATAAACAGCCCCAAAGAGGTCCTACACAAAGATTTCGTGCACGCTTAGTCTTCCTCGCTTTCCATATCTCGTTGTCACCACAACTGCCGAGCAAGAAGGCAGACAATGATATATCACATACACACCTAGAGGTAGAGTAGTACCAAGAGTGCCTACACTCCTGCTCTTCAAGTTCTTGACTGCCTGGGTATATTCATGTAAAAATTGGCCAGAACAGCGAACCTAAGAAAGTCGACCTACACCATTCACCTACCTTCGTATTATACCCCAACGTTGACCTCTTCTTCTTCGTCTTCATCATCGTAAAAATTTCCAGACGTCGGACCGAGAGTTGTGATCCAGTAGGTATCCACCTCGTCTTCATTAAAGTCGAACAGAGAGGCTCCGGGAGGCCTCCCGTCGTTCAAAACGCAAGCCAAGCATCCATGGATCATGATATGTGCTGTAATGTACGATGGACGGTTAAGGGTGTCGTCGGAGGCTGTCAAGTTGCGTTAGCTTGGGCGGGTCAGTGGGTGTGTCATCGGGTTTTGCGGCCTTGGCGATATCTTTTTTCCTACGTCTTGTCAAATGGTGCCGTGGTTGCCGTCTTGGATATGCAGATACATACTATCGATCTCAGCCCTGCTGTCAATGTCGTATCACTTGGCTGTCTTCTTGTTCTTGGTCTTGTCTTGGCCATTGAAAGAGCCTCTTGATCCCTCAACCATGGACTCTACTCGGAGGCCTCCGGCACTGGTCAAACGAACGTTTTTCTCCTCCGGATGTTTCAATCCAACGTTAGATGTAAAGATGGTAAGGTTACAACTGATCAAACGGACGCTTCTCCTGGTCTTTTGTAGCTAAGGTACCTCTCTAGATGGTATAGAAAACAGCCATGAACAACTCTCGCGCTTGGCAAAAAAAAAAGTGAACCCTTTCTAAATATCGCTTTGTTTTTCCTACCCCATTGTGTTAACGTACGTACTAACTGGTAGTGTAGTAAAGTACGCATTTCCAAACTGCGTATCAACACCCCCAATAGACCGATGTGGGTGCAACAAGAGGAGCTAACCTACGCGGCGTGCCAGCCGCGGCGGTGATTGCGGTATCTATGCGGTTCCATCTTTGACTCTCCACAGGCCCTAACCTAGGGGACAGAGCCTGGTTCGATGTTGGGGGAAATACCGTCTCGACTTTTTGGCAGGACCGGTACCTTTTCCTGGGGCCAGGTCCCAGCACAGCACCCTCCCATTACCATGGGCAGTTCCTGATTCTCTCCTCTTGTTGCCAGATGGATTGCTTTTGTGTTTGCCGACCTCCCACCCTCCCTGAGATTCTCCTTGGAATAGACCAATCCCATTGACGCCTAATGCAAATGCTGCTGACAAAGACCTGCGTAGCCCCTGATACTCCCGCCAATTACAAAAATGACAAAGACGATGAGAAAGAGACGAATCTCCGCCCCAGCAGCGCATTCCCGTCCCAGCAGCGCTTAGAAACCCATTCAAGCATAGGTGCGCGAAAGGTTGCGGAGGTACCAGTCAACCAACTTACGGCCGACCTTGGCCTCGGAGATGTGAATGAGGTCCTGCAGAATACTGTTAGCACTGAATTCACACTTGCCAGTCTCTGACACGGTTTTCACCGCGCCAGCACGGGGATTACTTACACCCTGGAGAGCATAGTCGAGATCGCTGACGTTAACAAGCTCACCCTCCAGAAGGCCACCGTCGGTCCAGCGCAGCTGCTTGGTGCGCTGTTTGTTGACCATGAGCCAGCCACGGAGCTCCTCAGGCTTGACCTCGAGGAAACCGGCGAGCTTCTTGAGGTCCATGGTGGTGTAGAGGCGGAGGTAAGACTTGATGGTGGGGTTGAACATGTTGGTCTTGACCTCGTCCATGAAGACGGAAAGGTGGTGCTCGATGGGGTCGATGTTGGCCTCGGGCTCGTCGAAGTTGGGGGGGACGGGGGAGATGAACTTGGGGCAGGCGGTGCGGAAGAGCTCCTCGTAGATGGGGAGGGCCTCGGGGCCACCGCGCTGGAGCTTGAGGAGCTGGTCGCCGTACTTCTCGCGGAGGGCGGTGTGGATGGTGTCATCCAGACGGGTGGGCTGGAAGGCAACGCAGATGGCGATGAGGGCGTACATCTGGTCGTTCTTCTTGGTGATGGAGTCGTACTGGGCGTTCTTCTGGAAGTTCTTGGTGCGAGAAACGTAGACCAGGATGTGGCTGAACATGCGGATGGCATCGGCATAGCGGCGCATCATCATGTAGGAGAAACCGACATAGTAGTAGGTGGTGAAATGGGCAGCCATGACGCGGGCGAACATGGCCTTCTTGTTGAGCTCGATGTCGTCGAGGGTCTTGAGGGCGAGGCTGAAGTCACCGAGAAGGGTGTGGACGCGGAGCAGACCGATGATGGAGAAGTATCCAAGCATCTTGTAGAGGTTCTTGGAACCATACTCGCCGGCGACGGCCGCGGGATCCTCGTTGCGCTTCATGGCGGCCAACTGCTCGGTGATCTGCGACTTCTGGATCAGGGAGTAGAGGACGTTGAGGACGCTGTAGCAGCCCCAGGTGTTGGGGTTCTCGCGGAGCATGGTGATCTCCTCCTCATTGTTACCTTGGCGGGCGATACGAGCTCTGTACGAAGAGAACGAGTTGAACTGGTAGATGAACTCATCGATGACATCCCAAGCCCAGTAGTACTAATAAGAGGAAGAAAACATGTGTCAGCACATGGCTATCCCATGAAACCATGACCCCAGGGTATCAATTATCATGACGCAAGCGGAGGTAGACTAACAGAGGGGGGCTCGAGGTCGACGGGGCCCTCGGAGTTCAAAATGAAGTGGAACAAGCTGCAGTAGGAATCGTAGCTCGAGAACTTGACCTCAAGACCGGCAGAGTAGTCGAGGGGCTGGGCGGCAGCGGCGAGGCGCGACTGGATGTCGTCGGTCTGGGCGGCGAGGGAGAGCTGGGTGGACTCGGCATCATCCTCCTCATACTGGACCTGCTCCTTGTAGTCGTTGACGAGGGCCTCCTCCTCGACGTCCGAATCGGGGTCGATGGCGCGGGCGGGCGCTTGCGCTTGCTGGAAGGCGCTCATGATGGGCTATAATGGAAGAGAGGAGGACTCGGGAAAGGATAATCCGACGTCGCGTCCGGGTCGAGAAGAGATCACTACGGGGTCGGGGGTCCGGAGTGGTTGGTGGTGTGGGTGAGGTCGGTGGTGTCTGTGGTCGCGAAGAGTGGCCCGAAGCGAATCGACAGGACTTTGCTTGGCGGGGCTCAATTTTTTGCAGTGTGGCCCGCCGTGGGCTTCTTTCACCCAGTTTGCTAGCATTGTGAGGGGCGGGCCCGCGCTAGGTTGTTTCCTTTTCCGTTGGGATTTTTGACACAAAAGCGGAGTGTATGCACTTTTAGGGTTTGGCCTGGTGCTGTCTGGCGAACAAAGAAGCGCCAATCTCATGCTTTTATCGGGGTAGTACTCGCCTTGTATGATAGACGTTCGAGTGGAGGAATATCTCATTCAACTATCAAGCTCAAAGTGGAATAGCAGGTCAGACAGGTGGCAGGCACTGAGGGGCAACTGGAACCAGTCCATCAAGGTTGATGTCCAATCCGATGCCATCAAATTGCCTTCTTCGCATTCAGAATGAATCATTTCAAAGTCAACTTTTAAAGTCAAGCACCGCGCAACGGGCATTATCGGCGTGAAGAAGGATGGTCATGTACTTCTCGGCTTCATCCCATGCTGAAGGACTACGGACATGAGTTAAGCGTAGCTTCAAACCTTGCAGAAAATATATATGCTCCTCCTTCAATACAAGTGCATCTTGGCTCAGGTTCTCTTCCCAGGTTGTCCGGCTCCAGCTTTTTCTTCCCTTGACTTCTCAAAGTTGCCCCGCCAAAAAAGTTGCCTAGATCGACTTCCAAGACGCCTCCATCTTTTTACCCATACCCATATTAATCAGCGATAACTTCAACCACCTCTATCAGACTCACCCAATAAAACCACAACACCTAAACCACTGACTGCACTTCACGGCAGGCCCGACACCAAACAGAAATACCATCCACCCGAAAGAAGTTTATCGACTGTGAATTATCATCATGCCTGTCGTCCAGCCAGAAAAGCTGGCCAAGCTCCAGCAAAATGCTGACGACGTGAGGAATGTAAGTTAAGCTGCATGTGATATGCATCCCATGTAAGATCCAGCAAGACTTCGAGGACATCAAGCTAACCAAATAATATACAGATTTGTATCCTGGCCCACGTTGTAAGTATTCCTTTTACCCAGACAACAAATTTGGCGTCCGTGTTTCTGTCGTTGCAAAGACTTACACTTCATCTTCTAGGACCATGGAAAAACATCACTCACAGATGCCCTTCTCGCCACCAATGGCATCATCTCGCCAAAACTCGCCGGCAAGATTCGATATCTCGATTCCCGACCAGATGAACAGCAAAGAGGCATCACCATGGAGTCTTCGGCCATCTCACTATACTTCTCCATGCTGAGGAGGTCGGCTCCTGATGCTACTCCCGAGGCCAAGGAGTACCTAATCAACCTGATCGACTCTCCCGGACATATCGATTTCAGCAGCGAAGTGTCCACGGCTTCTCGTCTTTGTGATGGTGCCGTTGTTTTGGTTGATGCTGTCGAAGGCGTCTGCAGTCAGACAGTAACCGTTTTGCGCCAAGCATGGACCGAGAAGCTCAAGCCCCTTCTTGTTATCAACAAGATCGACCGTTTAGTTACCGAGTTGAAGATGACCCCGGGCGAGGCTTATATCCACCTCAGCAAAATTCTCGAGCAAGTTAACGCTGTTCTTGGAAGCTTCTTCCAAGGTGAGCGCATGGAAGAGGATCTAAACTGGCGTGACCGAATGGAGGAAAGAGTGGCTGCTGCTGCGGCCAAGGAGGCTCAAATAGCTGCCGGCCAGCCCGACTCCGGTGAGCTTCAGTTCCAGGAAAAGGACGACGAGGAGCTCTACTTTGCACCAGAGAAGAACAACGTTATTTTCGGCAGTGCCATCGATGGCTGGGCTTTTACTGTTCGTCAGTTTGCCGGCATGTACGAGAAGAAGCTCGGTATCAAGCGCGGCTTGCTGGAAAAGGTTCTCTGGGGCAACTTCTACATGGATCCCAAGACCAAAAAGGTACTTGGACCTAAGCATCTCAAGGGCAGGCCTCTGAAGCCCATCTTCGTTCAGTTGGTGTTGGAGCCTATTTGGGCTGTTTACCAAGCTACCGTTGGCGGTGACTCTGGCAAGGGCGATCCCGCTCTTCTGGAGAAGATCACCAAGTCTTTGAACCTCACTGTTCCGCCTCACATTCTCCGCTCCAGGGATCCCAAGCTCCTCCTTAACACGGTATTTGCTTCCTGGTTGCCTCTCTCTACGGCTTTGCTCGTCTCAGTGGTGGAGTCATTGCCCTCGCCCAAAGCAGCTCAAGCAGACCGTCTCCCAGATCTTCTCGCAAGCGTACCTGGTGCGGACCACATCGATCCCAAAGTCAAAGATGCCATGGTCTCATTCAAAAAGGGTCCATCTGAGCCAATGGTTGCATACGTCAGCAAGATGGTATCCGTACCTGAGAGCGAACTGCCGGAGAACAAGCGCCGCGGACCGCTCAGCCCCGAAGAGGCTCGCGAGCTGGCGAGAAAGAAGCGTGCCGAAGTCATCCGTGCTCAAGGAGGTGCTGATGGTGACCCCGACATGAACGATCTTGCCAACGCCTTCACCAGCACTTCCCTGATCGACAACGCCGTGCCGGAACTCGAGGAGAAGCCGGTCGAAGCGGAACATCTCATCGGTTTCGCCCGCATCTACTCGGGCACTCTGTCCGTTGGCGACGAGATCTACGTCCTACCTCCCAAGTTCTCCCCCGCGGACCCCTACGCTCAACCAGTCCCGAAGAAGGTGACGGTTACCGCCCTCTACATGCTCATGGGTCGCAATCTCGAGGCGCTTCCCTCCGTACCAGCTGGTGTTGTGTTCGGTATTCGTGGTCTGGAAGGCAGCGGCCTTCTCAAGTCCGGAACCCTCTGCAGCCAGCTCGAGGGCTCGGTCAACTTGGCTGGTATCGCCAACCTGGCTGGCCGTCCCATTGTCCGTGTCGCTCTTGAGCCTGTCAACCCCTATGACCTGGACAAGATGATTCAGGGTCTTCACCTCCTTGTCCAGAGCGATCCCTGCGCTGAGTATGAGCACTTCTCCAGCGGCGAGCACGTCCTCTCCACCGCCGGTGAGTTGCATCTTGAACGCTGCCTGACGGATCTGCGTGAGCGGTTTGCGCGGTGCGAGATCCAGACCGGTGCGCCCATTGTGCCGTACCGGGAGACGATTGTCCGTGCCGAAGAGATGCGGCCTCCTGTCAACAAGGAGCTCGGTCGCGGCGTAGTGGTTGGCGTCACGAGCTCTAAGCAAGTTACGGTAACCCTGCGCGTCAGGCCCCTTCCGGCCCCCGTGACTGAATTCCTCCTGAAGAACGCCGCCGGCATCAAGCGGCTGTACACAGATAGTAAGGCGGCTGGTGTCGAGGACGGCGCCGAGTCGCCCTCTGTGGAAGCCACCTTGGAGAACGGCACCCCGTCGGACGTCAAGATCGAAGAAGACGAGGAAGTCTCCCAAGCCACCACCACCCTCACGCCCGAGGAACTCAAGAAGCAGCTCGAGGCTCAGCTCGAGGGCATCAAAGACAAGGAGGTCTGGAAGGACGTGATCGACCGCATCGCCTCCTTCGGACCCAAGAGAACGGGCGCCAACATCCTCGTCGACGCCACCAAGGACCAGCTCTTCAGCAAGGCCTTCTCGGCCGACAAGATCCGCAACCAGGCGCCCACGGGCGACGAGAAGCTGCACCCAGCCCACTTCAGCGATAAGATCATGTACGGCTTCCAGCTGGCCACGCAGCAAGGGCCGCTCTGCAACGAGCCCGTGCAGGGCATCGCCGTCTTCGTGGAGGAGGTCCTTGTGGCGCAGACGGAGGACGACGAGGCCTCCTCGGCCCGCGACAGGATCGGTCGCTTGACGGGCGAGGTCATCAAGACGGTGCAGCAGTCGATCCACAAGGGTTTCTTGGACTGGTCGCCAAGGTTGATGTTGGCCATGTACTCGTGCGAAATTCAAGCAAGCAGTAAGTCTTTTGTTTCATCATTTAGTCCTCCACACCCTATGTACTCATACTAACCCCCAAAAGCCGAAGTCCTAGGCCGCGTCTACGACGTGCTCACCCGCCGCCGGGGGCGCGTGCAATCCGAAGCCATGAACGAGGGCACGCCCTTTTTCACGATTCAGGCCCTACTGCCCGTGGCCGAGTCGTTCGGGTTCGCCGACGACATGCGCAAGCGCACCTCGGGCGCCGCGCAGCCGCAGCTGATTTTCACCGGGTACGAGATTCTGGACGAGGATCCCTTCTGGGTGCCCTTCACCGAGGACGACTTGGAAGATCTGGGCGAGTTTGGCGACAGGGAGAATGTGGCCAAGAGGTATATGGATAGTGTGCGCAGGAGGAAGGGATTGTTGGTGGAGGGAAGGAATGTGGCTACTAATGCGGAGAAGCAGAAGACTTTGAAGCGGTAGAGGGTTGCTGTTGTGTGTTTAGGTTCATGCCTCGAATGATAGGGAGGTTGTTGGCATCTCTATGGCGTATGAAAGGATGTTTGAGTTGTAAAGGCTATGTATGTGTCATTCATCATTGGTTTATTTACAAGCCGGAAGGGGCATTGTTTCTTCGTCTTTCTTGCTTGGTGTGACCATCCATGGCTTACTTCGTGATAGGCATATTTCAGTTGTAGGAAGCTTCCAAATCCATGAGCTTTTCGTGGCATCTTCAAGGACGTGGTGGATATCTTCTTATTCCTTAGTACGGTCGATTTGGCGCATGGGTAGCTCTATCAATGAGCGAGACTCTTCGAACACAAACGTGTACTGTGGTCCATGTAACATTCCTTTTGTCAAATCTGCTGATCAGTGGAATCCAGTGATCCTTCTTTTCCTTCCTTGCTTCGAAAACCAAGTAATTCTGATCTTTTCTTTCTTTTCCCACAACGGCCGATCGCCTGGGAAAAGAACACGAGGAGAATGCTCGTTCGCCTTCCATTTCCACTTGGGGAAAAAGGTTCTAGAACATCCTGAACCCGATCTTGCCCGCTCGCCGAGCTATGAGTTGGCATGTGTAACTTTAGGTATCCATACACTCGGCCCGAGAAGTCTCACGTTCAAATTTTCAATTACCTCTCGAGACAATCGAACAATATTCCTAGGTTTTCTCATGGAATATTTCCCCGCGCAATGGATGGTTGTTGTCGACGACGTCAGCCAAGCAAATTTCACTACACTAGCTCATTGCATGCTTTCTCTACATTAGTCTCCTTTTATAGTGCATGCATGATCGAGACACCATTCACCAAACAAACATCTGGGCAGCCGAGCAGCCGGGCAAAAGGCAAGGCAAGCAGACAATGACCAAAATAAAGTACACACAGGCTCAGCCAAAAAGAGTGGTCTAGTGTGTACTGTTTTTTTTGGGAACCGTCTGGCAAGGTAAGGCGCAGCATGGCCACACCAATATAAGCTGATAAGTTAACCGCGGGAGGGTGCCCAGGCAAACCTGAAAATAACAAAAACAAAACCGAAAACGAAAAAAAAAAAATACTTACTACGCTGGGAAACCGCTTGGTGAAAACCCAGATGCCCGCTTGGGATAGATATGCTCGCTATGGGTTAGTATATTCGCTAGAGGTTAGAATGTTCGCTAGAGGTTAGAATGTTCGCTGAGGATAAGGATCGCTGGGGATAAGTATATTCGCTATGGATAGGTACGCTATGGTGAACTCACCATGGGAGAGTGCCCAGGACCTGCCCGGACAGCTCTCCCATAGAGTTGGGGAAAAACCCCGAAAAGTTGCCCTCGACCAGAATCGAACAGATGACGTTGCGGTTGTGAACCCAAGGTAGGAGCCACTCAGCTAATAAGCCAAATTGCACATTGGTACCCACTTACCATATACGCTAATCCTATATAGGCGAATTTTCCCACAAACTGAACTGTTAGATGAAAGGGCTTGCTACCTGACTGCGCTGTTTCATCTTATCGAAGAGGTTCACAAGGCGATGAGAAGGCTCTCGGCTCGGTCTAACATTGTTCTTTTCTTTTTCCCTTTCTTTCTTTCTTTCTGTCTGCCTGGGTTCGCCATGGTATTGGCATTGGCATGGCATGGCATGACATGCAGGCATGATGGTGGGCATGACTTTGGTGGCTTGATACGCTTGCGGACGACGGGACAAATGCAACATGGCGTTTCATGAGCTCTGATTCGGTGGGAGGGGTTTGTTTGAAGAATCGAGGAGGCTGGAGGAAGACAGAACGGCACAACGGGTGTTTTGGTTGGAGGGGAAGCGCTTGGAGGGGTAGGTAGACTCGAGGTAGCATATTGTAGACAGGTGCGGCGTAAGATGGGAGACCTGAAATTGCAGAATTGCATGGACGGCTGAGATGTAGGCGCTATCATTGTTGTTTTCCGAGTACGAATATGGAGGGTTTGAAGATGGATGTTGATGACTTGCATCTGTCTTCTTTTCCACAGGAAAACAAGAAAAGATGGACCTGAAGGATGATGGTGGGTTGGTCTGCTTTGTCTGGTCCATGGTGATTCGCGGAGATCTCCCGAGCATGATCTTTGCCAGCCATCAACCAGGTAAAGTGCCTTAGCTAGTGCCTTTGGACCAACGATGCCCTGACTAGAAATAGGATACATATGCATGGAAGAAAAGGGATGGCTGCTGGCTGCTTGCTGCATGAGAGATGTCGCAAGCTGTGTTCATGCCTGGTGCATCAGGAACAAAGGATGGAGGTTCCGAAGCTACGGTTACGGACATGACTTTGTTCCATTGCTGTTGCTGAGTGAGGTGCTCTGGCAGTGGAAAGAGATAAGACAGGAAGCAACAGAGAGGCACCGCACGAGGGATAGAAAGACAAGATTGGTGCAATGGCGGGCAGGCGGGGTAAACGTCCTGTTTCAAAGCAAGGAACGGGGAGTGGAAACCGGAAGGAGGCCTGGGGCGCTAGGAGGTTCCGGTGTGTGGGCGTGGTGGGCTTGTGGGCTGTCTCAAAGCTCTTATCCCAGGCTGAGCCATCAGGGCCAAGACTATGCAAGGAGGAGAGGAGGGGAGGAGGATTCATCATGGCTTGGACCTACCGTAGCTAGTAGTCGGTGAACCATGGCGGCATGGTCTGAGGCGCTCTCCCTTCTAGTTCATCGGATCAGTCCTTCTCCTCCTGAGACATTCTTTTCCCTTGGGTTCGTCGCTCACAATCCCACGAATATCAAGGCGCTGGAAACCGAAGACTGCTTACCGTGCTGCGCTTCCACTTATCGTCCATCTGCTGGGACCCGGATTCAGGTCGGAGCAAGTTAACGGGAGGACCTGAAGAGTGGGGACGCTGCTGTGGGGCGCATCGGGATCTGACACTAAAAGCGGGCGTTGCTCTGGATACGACGAGAAACAGGCGCCAAACAGCCGCACACCAGGCCGTCCTCGTCCGTGCTCTGCCCGTCGCAAACACTGAAAAACAGCCAGTGGAAGTGGTTGGTGGTTGGACCAGGATCCTGTCAAGTAATACCTACGTACGTACCTGAAAAGTACCTGAAGAGTCTCAGCTGCGAACCTTAATTCAGAGCAAAAAAGTGCATCTTGGACGGACAGTCAAGAGACTCGGCCACAAACCGTCATTTCCTCAAGTTGTTCCTTCCTGGGACTATTCACCACCTTGTCACCACTTCCACTTCCTTCTTTCCGCCATCTCTCTCCCTTCATTCCAACTTTCTTTCTTCTCATCACCTCATCCTCACCCACCATCGCTTGTTCTTCCCTTCCCCCTTCATGGAATGTTTGTATGCCTCTTGATTTGAGCGCATCGCATATACTTTCCGACCGACTACTGCGGTGGAATCTCCCGTCGACTCGACTCGTGTAAACCCAGCTGCCCGCCGTGTGGTTCCAGGCCTCACAGCTGCAGACCAGAAGCAAGTCCCAGCTGCACGTCATAACTCGCCCATTCTTTCCTCTCGCTGCAGCCAGATATCACCTTATTGGTACGCCCCGCGCCTGTCCTGCTCGACACGACGCTCCACCACGACGACAACCTCACCGTCGTTCACCTGCATCATACTCCCCACTCGTTATACCATATCCGAGAGAGCACAAGTCCACCCAACATGGATACCAGCTACCTGGCACAACAGGTCAACACCATTATCGGCCAGTTGCATGGCCTATTTGACGAGATCGGTGTTGCCCACAATGATCGCGAGCATAGAGAGGCCGAGGTGAGCAAAAACAAGCAAAGGCGACAATTGGGCATAAGGCGCGGCGAACATTGGCTAACCTATTTTCGCAAAAGCTCTTTGCAGCTCTATCCGAGGCACTGCAGAATCAAGTGCGCCGTGTGACAAACGAGAAGCAGGAGATGATTGAGGAGGCACAGAGGATCATCACAACAATCCGGCAAATGGAGGTGGCCATGGATGACACCAAGAAGGCCCGCCGGTCACTTGAAGACGATGGACTCAAGATCACATACCCACTCGTCCAGTGCATCCAGGGTCTACAAGAAAAGCACAGCCAGGTTGCCAGGGCGCACAGAGAGCGATACGAGGAGATCAAGAGTACGTTTTCTACCAGCTCTTCTCATGGAAACCCCCAAGTTGTACTGACACTATAGCAGAATTGGCGCAAGCACTGGAATCGTATTCTCTACACCTGGAACCAGGCTTTGTCAAGCTCGAACTACCTCCCACCGGACCCGATCAACCAGTATCAACAACTTTCGATTTGACCGACTCATATGTGCAGAAGCTGGACGAGCAGTTCACCAGAGTCTTTGAGGAGTACACTCGCCGAGTCGCAGCCGTAAAGTCTGTGGCAGAAGAGATTATTCAGCTATGGGCTGAGCTTGGGACACCGCAAGCGCAAACGGATGGTGCTATAGTCAAGTACTACCGGGATGCGCCAGAACAGCTGGGTCTCCACCAAGTAGACATCGAGCGACTCCGAGCCAAGAAAGACAAGCTGGCCGATGAGAAGAAGAGCCGAGAAAACCGCCTGGCCAATCTCAAGGCAACAGTTGGAGAACTATGGGAAAAGCTTGGGGTGGACGAGAGTGCGCGCAAGGCCTTCCTTAACAGCAACCGTGGCTGCGGCATGCGACAAATCAACGAGTTTGAGGATGAGCTGGCGCGCTTGAACGAGCTTAAGCGCCAGAACATGCACATTTTCATTGAGGATGCTCGCGTCAAGCTCCAAGGGCTGTGGGATGCTCTGTATTACTCGGAGGACGAGATGCTCGAGTTCACCCCAGCCTTCTCTGACGTGTACAGCGACGCTCTGCTTGAGGCACACGAGCGCGAAATCGCTCGTCTGGAGACCTTGAAAGAGCAGAGAGCTCCATTGCTGTCTCTCATTGACAAGTACAAGAGCCTCGTTGCTGACCGTGAGGAACTGGCAGCTTCCAGCCAGGATGCCTCACGCTTGCTGATGAAGGGACAGAAGGGCGAGAGGCGCGATCCTGGCAAGCTTCT